AATCCAAAAAAAGAAAAAAAAAAACATTGGCGGGAAAAAACGCGTGCTTCATTGAGGGAAGATGTGTTGGTGCGCATGCCTGAACGTCCCGTTTCGATAAAACCCTTCCTGTTTGTCTTGTTTGGGTTTATATTCCTTGTAATAGGATTTCAAATGGATTTTCTAAATAATACAGTAATTTTTCCCCCCTATTTACTTATCTATTCGCTACATTGGCAAATTACATTATTCGCTACATCGGTCAATCACGTTTTTCTAAATACTATGACATACATATAATAATTTTCCCACATGCATTTACTTATCTATTTGCTACATCGGTGAATTACGCTAAAGGGGTAACGTTAGTTTCTGAATTCAAAAAATGAAAAATAAATAAATAATTTGAATAATTTAAATTAATTTTAAAAATTAAAACAGATAAGCAACAAAATGCTCAACGTTAAGCCACAAACGTCCCTGACTACTATTTAGTAGTATGGAAGCTTGGAAAAAAAGAGCAATACTCTTGAATGAACTTTTTTTACCATCAATAATGCTATGCGATAAAAACTGAAGAGTTTTTACAACTAGTACAAAAAAGTGTATGGTATAAGATACTCAGAAAATAACTAGAATATGTTAATAGAGCGGAGTGCCACTAAATATTATTTAAATATGAGAAATGTGTGTGAAGCGATACTCTCAGTCTAGTTGAATACAAGTAGTCGACTGCGTTTATGCTTCAGAGTATTAGTTTTCAAATCCACGACAATCAATATAAAAACACTGACCACAGGGGTTGACATGGCTATTGTAGGTTATAAAAACAGATAAATCTATAAAGAACCATAGGAAACTGCGGTAACTCGTATAGTCTCGATTGTTTAGTTGGAAAACTTTAATATTAGTGAGTGAGAAAACAACCCTTGTTGGCAGGGCATCTGACAAACAAGTTATCGTGCATGATTTACCAAAACAAACACTTAAACTCAAAGTAAAACAGCTCTAAAACTGCACTTTGAAGCAATGACGTTTTGAAGGAAACAGCGTGACATCAGTGCTACTGAGAGAAATTAAAGAAATGGCGATGGCAGGAAAAAATCCTCGAAGATGGAACCCAAACGGTTTCTCCCTTTCTCTCTTTTTTTCATTTATTTTTGCGTCTCTTTCATTTTTCATTTTCGAAGGTTTCAACAAGGTTTTGTTTGCCTTATCTTTTATCTTCCTTCTCGGTGCAAAACGCACGTTAATGGTAGCAAAGAATCGAAAGGTAGAAAATATTATCCATATCATTAGCAAGGCAAGCGATCGAGAAGCTAACATTTTACTGAATTTATCGTGACTCAATTGTTTTTTCCCTTGGGGGATCAGCCTCTTCAGCGTTATAAAATAAAACACGTGGAAAACCTAACAAAATTGTTCGAGCCCGATCTAAAACAAATTTTCGAGTCGGGCCAAGTTTGACATTTGGTCAAAAACCACTTGAAAATTCTCTCGATGCTGTAAAAATCTAAAACTGGCAGTCATATTTTTTAAACGGATATAATATAAACTCTTGGCGGTACTCGCGTCTCTAGCCTTAATAAATCCAAATGATATTATCAACTCGACAGTAAAATCTCCTCCAAGTTGAACTTTCTTTATCACACATTTTGATTTGTATACATTATTTTACATACTCACCAAAACTCCTTCACAAGGCGCAGTTAGAGTTAAAAGTTTTCAATGAATTTGGAGGAAAAAATTATATTTGTCTCGCTTCCGTTAACGTTAGTCTTCAGACTACTCGATTCAATTACACGGTATCCGTATTGTGGCTCGAGTCTCAAATCCTTACATTTGTTTAGCGCATCCCGACAGTACTTCTAATTTTTTAGCGAAGTCAATATCCTACACGATACTGAGTTCCTATTGGAGGATCACGGTTGGTGAACATCACCACTATGGGAGGCTGTAATATGCTTTTTAAGGAAAGAGCTTTTCATATTGTTATTTCCGTTGATGTTCGCCCACGAGTGAATCAACCGACTAAAGAAGCGCTAAGGATTTTGTTTTAAAGGGCACACATTTTCAGTAGGAATTCGTGGTAATTATTTGGTAACTAGATATCTTTTCTTCGGTATCAAAATGAACTTACTTACTTGAAGCTATTTCTTTTAAATACGTCGCTTCACGGTGATAGCGTGTGCGGTTAGTGTTCCCAAACAGCGGTTCGTTAGACCACCAGAGGTCAGATAAACCTTATTCCAATCATTGCCAAAGACCATTGGCGTGGTGAACAAACACTGGCGAAGACTTACTATCTTACAAACGTTTTCTCAATGCTTCTGGTCTTGTTTTCTCAATGATAACCGTTGTATATTGATCATTAATGCATGCCTTCAATCATATGTCAAACCAGATATCATTTATAAGTGTGTATGTTATGGCTTTATGCGACGTAACAGAACAGCCTGATATTCATTAGAGTTGAACTGAAAAAGTCCGATTGCATTTAGAATCATAGTACAATAAATCTTTTCCGGTGTCTTAGAATAAAGGTTAGTCTATGTTATCGGGATAATACTATTACAAAGCCCAAGATAACACCAATCCACTTCCTTATCAGTAAATAGCTCGGTAAAGCTGGTCGGCGAGGTCGACAGGCTGATTGTTATCAACCGAGGAAGAGTCTTTTACTGCCTCCGCTAACAGTGTGATCAGAGGAACGATGCAATGCTATGAATGTCCGATGAAAGAACCTTAATGTCCACTAACACTATTCCCTTTACTCTTCCCTTTACTCTTTCTTTCAATTTCACTTCTATTCACTTCCATTCATATAAATAATATTTAATTAATCATTAATTATAATTAATTAATTAATTAATGTATTCTTTCCTTTACTTTCACTTCTGTTCACTTTCATTTATAATAAATAATTATTAATTAATAGATAATTACAATTAATTAATTAATATATTCTTCCCTTTACTTTCACTTCTGTTCACTTTCATTTATAATAAATAATTACCAATTAATAATCATAAATAATAATTATTTTACATAATTGATATTAGATTAAAACCCTTCATCGTTTCATATTTAGTTTCAGTTCCATTGTTTCAAAATTGTTTTAAGCTTTTTATTATTATTTTTTACCACATGTCAATTCTTAAGTTATTCATGCGTCATATTTTTATTTATTTTATCTTTTTTTTTTCTATCACGGCAAATGYTGAGTAATTGATAATAAACCTTTTTGAGAATGACAAAATGAGGTCGTCGAAACGTCCAATACTAACTATAGAAATTAAAATGCCAAGGGCATTTGATATTTTTCTCTTATTCTCTCTATAGAAATTAAACTATACTTTCGGTGCTAGATACAAGTCTACTAATCAATGCAAACTTAATTTATATATTGCGTGGCAACTATTCTGGCGCCTGGCATTTGGCAACGCTGCCATTAAGAAACACTTCATTTCAGTAAGCCGACCGTGGCGGAAGGTATTTTTGAAGGAAGCTAAAGGTTTAATCCATACGGTGAGTTGTGAACCCGCGCATACTCAGTTAAGTAGAGCCGGGTAAAATCAGAAATCCGCTTCAAAAAACAACGGATTCTATAGTGAACAAGCGTCCCCCCCTGTACGTTTATATCTATTTCGACAATATCYATTTGTGAATAAATATTCGATGATGCTATGCTGCACTGCAATTGGAAAATATACTGTCTTTTGATTAGTTCAGCCAGCGGAAGCCATTTAAGAGTCACAGAAAAAATGTATCAATCGAAAATTAGAACTACTTCTGGAAATAGATTTCCGAATGAATGAAAAAGGGCGGATTTTAGATTTTGAGAAGACCGTTTTTAAGTACTTATTTATGGTTTTGAAATTCATAACTTTCGCGTAGTAAAACAAAAGTTTCACTCAAAAGGAAGAAGTCCTTATATCTGGTCATTTTTATTTTTAGGGTAATGCTATATCAGTGTGAAATCTTTGATGTCAGTTTAGAATTTGCAGTCAGTAAGATACAAGTTTTATCCTCAGTTATAAATGTTAGTAAAAATATTTTAGTGCTTTTCCTCTTTCATGCTTTACCCTCTTTCACTTTGGTGTGCATTGGTTTAGAAATTATAATTATTTGCATTAAATATAAATATAAAATTAATTTAAAATCACATTAATAATAATAATATTTATTATATAATTAATATTTATTATTATTATTGTTATAGCTTCATAACTCATGCTTCTATTTATATACAATTACGAATAAATAAGTAGCAATTCTAATTTTTTTTWAAATCGAATTTGAATCTTTTTCCCTTTTTGCCATTTCTCATTTACTTTCGAATAATCTTGAATCAAAAAGATTCATACAAAAAAACATTTCATTCTTACATCTATTTCAATTCCACAGTCCATTCTATCCCAAAATCATATGACTATATCGACAAGACATCTACTTTTACCCTCAGCACAATAATCACTAGGAATCGGGAAGTCTACACAATCGGTTTATAATTAGCTTACTTTGATCAGGAGAAACGCTAAAAATAACCCAGGCTTGTGCTGTTAAAAGCCCGCCCGATGACGTTATACCATTAAAACTGATTATGTGATTAATAAGAACTGCTAGAGCCCCAAAATCTAAATAGAGTATAGGAAATGAAAAAAATAATCAAACGGTTAAAAGATGACGACAATTCAACTTCACGAACCATCTGTAGAAGAAACCAAAAAATTCTCAAATATCGAATAAATGTTTTAGCACTTTAAACATATAAAGAAGTCTACTATAGGCTTAATGAAATTAGGGGAAAGCAGATTCCTTTTAGAAGACACAAAAGGAATCGTAATATTAGACAAAGTACAAACTGTGTTGTATTAATAACAATCTGATCTATCTTTCAATATAACCTTAACTCACCAATTTTTTTCTCGCCTTGCAAATAATTAACGCTAACAGAATTTTCGCGTCATGACTGAAAATCGTTTGCTCAAAATAAATTAAGTGATCAAACGAAAAAAATATTACAAATGCACTACATTTTTATGACATGGTCTCACAAAGTCATAACAAATATTATTACTTCCTATTTGCCACGCTTAGGATTTAATAAAGTCATATTTACAATATTCTCGAACTTTACAGTAAATTTACAGCTTTATGAATGAAATAGTCAATTAGAAGAGTCATCAAATACGGTGTTTCCTGAAATATCACTTCTCGAAGTTTCCAGCTGACGTGTTTGGCGATGAGAGCCGGAAAGGGCCATCGACAATAAATTCTGGTTACTATTATTATTTTGGGTTTTTGATTTTTTAAATTTTTTCTGAGGTGTGCGTTTAATATGTAGAAATTCTGCAAAGTTTCACTGGCTCACGTTAAGGCTCGGCATCACGTAAGTCCTTAGAAATTTGGCGAGGGAAAATGGATAAGTTATTTTGTATTTTTTCTTTTGGACAACGATAGACATTGGAAAGGAAGGGAAATGAAAAATGAAAAGGGGATAGAAGAGAGATCTAGAAGAGGAGAGGAGAGCAGAGGAGAGGAGAGCAGAGGAGAGGAGAGCAGAGGAGAGGAGAGCAGAGGAGAGGAGAGCAGAGAATGCTTCGATTAGTAACAATGAAATATAAGCCCTGTTAATTTAAGAGTTGTACACCAAACAGATTGGGAACCATTCGTAGACTATTGAGCTGTGCTGAAAGAGATGTCCCATCTGCCTTGGATGCTGTCATCTCCTGTTCAGCTTTTTGTAAGACAACCTGAATGAAATAATCATATAAAAGTGTCATTCTATTTTGTAAGACATAAAGATACCATAAATGAAATGTTTGATAACTGGATAAGCAGCAACAAAATAAAATAATAGTTTGTTCGTAGATTGTTCTTAGTTTGTTCGTAGACTGTTTGTAAATTGTTCATAGATTATTGATAGGTGTTCTTTACCTTTAGTTCTTCAATCTGTTTTGCGAGGACTATATTTTGGTCTTGTGAAGAAAGTATTGATTTTCTTAGCTCCCGAATCTCGAGTTCCCTGTCTGAAAATATGCGTGGGATGTTAACGAATCATAACCGACATGTAAATATATCACTGAGTATCGAGGGGAGGACTCATTTTTAGACGATTCTATCTCACTGCTTAAAATTTCAGTTCGTACAATACTGCCAAAATACACCCTACATATGTACTAAGTAAATCCCCCTCCCCGAACCATTCTTGGTGTGCATGTTACGTCATAGCCGCCATGTTGGTTGACGATAACAAACCATTCTTCATTAGCTTCTCTTGTTAGATCAACCAACATGGCGGCTGTTTCATTGTTTTAAGTAAGTTGTACAGTACTCCAAGAAAACATTGACTATACTGAACCTGATTTGACATAAATTTTGATTCAAGTTGATTGCAAATTGAATCCCTGGGGGAAGCTCCTTTAAAAACCTACTGTAGGTTGAAGCACCCCCACCCCCCCCCCACACACCTCACCACCCCCCCCCCCCTCTTGATAATGAATTTGTTAACCAAGATATCAAGACATAACTTACTTAGATTTTGTTCAAGGAAGGTCTCTGTAAATTGTGGTATACTAATTGATTGACATGCCAATAGTGTAGTCCCGGTAGCACCTCCCTGGCTTGTGTGGCTTGGTGATGTACCATTCAAACCATTTGTTATTTTGGAAGAGGCTTCAGCTTCTCGTTCAAACTCACATGTCAGCATTTGTAAATGCTGTCTGCCATACATATGTTCTTTTTTGTTATGCAGGGAGCTGAAGTACTGGTTGCATGTCTTGCAGTACAGCTCATTTGATTCTGAATCCTTCGAAATAAGAAATGGTGAAAATTTAATCTCAGAATATACTGGAGTACCTTTCCTCTCCATAAGAGGAAAGCTGCAGGATTTTAAATGTGCAAAGGGTGGAGGGGTGAGAAGAATTACCTCATCTTGTTGAGCAACAAGTAAGCCACTATCAATTTCCTCATTTCCATCAACTGAAATGGATACATCAAAAGATAACATTATTGTATGTCTTTCACATTTATCTGACCCTAAGAAGCATCTCAGACTTCAGTGGACAATTTTCTCAGAAACAATACTAGTATATTTACCATCCACTTGTTTGGACCTTTTTACAGCTTGTCGTTTAACAAATGCTTGGAATTTTTCAGAATGTTGGTAAGCTTTGAGCTCTTCTATGTAACGTTTTTTATCGTCCTCTGCCTCATCAAGAAATTTCTGTACAGAAAAACGGATGAAAATATTTGTGGTGAACACTTATAACTTCAACTTATATCCAGGTTCGAGTCCCAACACGGACTGAATCATAATATGTTCAGTTTGTTTGATGCGATATTCTCTCCCTTGCCATAAGGATTTTTCTCCGTGTTCTCTGGTCTCATTCCCTTCGTAAAAATCAACATGGGAGTTGAGTGTTGTATGATGTTAATATAGAATGTAGTGGTTAGAGCTTGTGGAGTGAACCTCATGGAAGAGCCCCATATGGGGAGTGATGGTTGTAAAATGATGTATACGTAATTGGAACTAATTGCTTGGACTTGAAATCCCCTCCAGTCCTCATTGTCGGCTTTGAAATATTACATCTCAAAAGAATACTGTTACAGATGAAATACTTCCATACCTGTTTTTCTTCAAGCGACAAGCCTTGATTCCACTCAACACCAAGCATCTTAGTGATCTCAGGAAATGTCAAATGAGGATGAAGTAGCTTGAGTTCCTCACGACGACTATTAAGAAACCTAACATATCTATGTTGTATGTGCCAAATGATAAAAGATATGCAGAAGGAGGTTAATAAATATGTAATATCATAAATAATATGCGATGAATGAATTATGAAGTCTGAAACATACCCAGTGACAGGTGCTTTGGGTTTATTTAGATCTTGAATATCTTTTTTCCGCTTTTTTCCTTTTGGCCATCCTCCCTTTCGTTTACGTGTCTGTTGCACAATGAAACAAATAGGTTTCTAAAAATCCTCTTTGGGGTCTTGTGAATATTTTAATATTAGCTTAATAATTTAGCGAGTTTACAATAAAAACTAATATTAGGTTGTGTTATTCATTCATGCAAAGCATATGAACTAAATAATATGAACTAATAAAATTTAAAATGTCACTGCTATCCTTATCATGATACTTTTTACTATTGCCTTTACTATCAGTACGTTTATCACTATTCGTTGCCACTACCAACAGCATCATCACTATCACCATCTTCATTACCAGTATCACCATGACCATCAATAATGCCATCATTGTCACCATTATTAGCATGCTCACTCTACCACAGTCATCATCATGATAAATGGTTTTCTTACCATCTCCACCACCATCACTTCCATTATCATCATCACCATCGACAGCAGCATCGCTATCACCATCACCATCATCATTACCATCGTCATCATCATCATCACCGATGCAATCAATGTCACCATTATCAGCATTATCACTACCACCATCATCATGATTAACAGGTCTAGCATCTTTGCCATCATCATTATCAATGAAATTTAATGAATACATGTACCTATCAAACTTGATATTGTCCTTTACCTTTGGTTCCTCTAGTTGTTGCTGGTGTTCTGTCGTTTGCTGTAAGTGTAATTCTTCTTGATTATTCTTGTCGACACAGACATTAACGTGGATGTCTGCAACATTTACATCTCCTACAGTGTGGTCCCCTTGTTGTGGAACTGCTTGAACTACTTCAAATATTGAATTATCTGGGACATTAAGTACTGCTACTYGTGTACGGGACAATAAACTATCTAATTGAAAAAGGAAACCATAATATTTTGAAGTATTCAATATATTCATAAAAGAATAAATGAAATATATTTAATTTATAACAGGTTATAACATGTCAGCATGTCAGTAAAATGTCATAAATTAGAAACCACAACATTTGTTTATGGTACTCTGATTACAGCATTTTCACATGACATCACCCTCCATATTGGTGCACTTTGGACAATAACTTTGTCATTAGTTTCTTTTGTTAGGTCACCAATATGGCTGCCATCTCTGTTGTCAGACATGAAGTCACAGCCGCCATATTGGTGTACCTTTGACAATAACTTCCTCATTAGTTTATTTTGTTAGGTACACCAATATGGCTGCCATCTCTATTGTCAGACATGAAGTCACAGCCACCGTATTGGCATGTACCTTTGACAATAACATTGTCATTAGCTTTTTTCGTTAGTTACACCAATATGGCTGCCATCTCTTTTGTTAGTTAAAACTCTACGGAATGGGTGAAAACACTCTTTAGTCTCTTGAGCCAATATTATCCTGTCCCATCTATGAATTGAAATATTATTCCCTTCTATTCATCATAATTTGATTTTGATTTTGAATAATGCTTAAACTCCAGAGTACTTCTCTGTTGATGCTAATGATAATTGTGATAAGATGATGATAAAACATACCTTGACAAGTTGATGTCACCATGGTTGATGTATCATAAGGCACCACATCAACTGGAAGCTGAACACTACTAAACAAACATCAGTTATTTAATAAATTAAAGATACTTTTTGGTTTGACTCACGATTGAGGGTCATTTGTAGATGGACCATTATGTTTTGACTGCAAGGTGCTAGTCTTCATCAGGTGATGGTGTACTGGATGGTGTACTGGATGGTGTTTCAGTGATTTATTCCTAGACATTTACTTTTTCTATTTTTTATTTTTCAAAAACTAATTCTTTACAATAGTGCAAGAAGCCCTTTTGAAGGTACATCGCACCAAAATACATGGTACCATCTACATATACATTAATAATTTTTATTTAAAATCTCTCTTTTTGTTAATATGCACTTAATCAAAAAACTGAGTTTATGGAGCACTAATCCCAATGCAAGTCTCATAGCTCAACTAAGTCTAACTGAAAGCAATGTAAAGGCACCTGTGGCAGTGGCTATACAGTGGCTATCCATGTACGATCCCAGATCTATCCACTTTGAATTAGTTAGGGTTGGTTTGAGAGGATAGAGAAAAAGCTGGAAAAACCCTCAGAGTCAAAAAGAGAACCAATCAAACAATCACCAATTTATTTTTATACAGAATTGGACTGGTTATAGCTTTAGCATCCAAAGACATAATTGACCAACCAACTCAGCTCATTTGTGGAGACTGGGAATAGAACCTTGGCCCACAGAGGTCAGGTGGGTCTTTTATCACCACACCCTCCTGATTCCTAAAAATATTCAAGTCTCAGTCCTCTACTTTGAGTTTGGTTACATACGAATCTACTACCTGCATAATTTACAGTCACCCCTCCCCCCCAACACATGCCCCCCTCCTCTCAACCAACAAACACACACTTTTTAGTGTTCCTTGACAAGAACTCCGATAATTAAAAAAATCAATAACTATAACTAAAAACCAATGCAAAACTCAAGATGAAAGAAAAGCAATGATAATATAAGATTTAAAAGTCAAATTTAAAAAAGCAAAAACATGAATTAGAATCTCCAATAAAATAGTAATCAACTTAATAATGAAACACCATACACAAATCTTTTTTAAAAAAAACATAAGAGCGTTACAAGTTTACTATACATGATTTATGATTTATGAACAAAGTACTCAGCATGAGATATTTTAAAATATTGTGTTGATAGGTTCACAAGTGAGTTTACGTTCTTTAACAAATTATTATTATTTTACGATACCCAAGTATTAAACAGAAAATTTTGACTAGCCAGATAATTCATTTACTAGAATATTAGGCATAAATATAGCTAACTAAAATCAAAATACAAAAGAAATAATTGAGAAGTTTATGAACATACCTTGCTAGAGAGACATCTTGAGAATGCGAAGCGACCACTTCATTGAAACAACTCGCTGGTGTAACCGCCTCAAAACCGTTCTTTTCTTGGTCTACATGATGTCCTGCCTGAAAAGCACTTAAGTTGAAGGCTGGTAGCCCCGTTACATGAACGCTACAGTCCTCATTACTCTCCATTTTTCTCTGTTGTTCTTCTCTTTGAATCAGCTTTGCTCTTTGCTTCTGACATCTGAAGAACGCCTGAGTCGACTCGGCATTTACGACACAGGAAACCCAACGAAATTTATATCTTAAAAAAATGATATAAAAATTTTAGGTTTGAGGAATTATAAAAAGCTCATAAAAGTGAATTAAGGACTATTAAATTATAGCAGTAAAGTAATCGTATAGTAGGTTAGAAATATGTATGTATGTTTTTTGGGGGGAGGGGAGGGTTGTACGGTTAATGATTCTGGATTCATGTAGATACCACTGACCACTAGGATATTCGTTTTCTCTTCTGTTTCCATTTATTAATTTATTATTTTGTTTTCTTTTTATGTTGTTTTACGAAAGAAAATGTCGTAATGGCTCTGTCAGACAGTAAAGTTGTAAAAAGAATCGATAAAATCACATCCGAGTTAAAAACCTCGACATCAGAAGAAGAAAGGTTTGATAAAGTTTCTTCGTATTTGGAGACTCTTGAAGATGACGATGGTACAAAAATACCTGACTTTGACGAAGATTTGGAGTGGCTAAACTGCAAGAGCTCCTTGTCTTTTAAAGAACATCTGAGAGGGAAGATATGTGTGCTTGATTTCTTTACTTATTGCTGTATAAATTGCATGCATATTCTGCCTGATTTGGAAGCCCTTGAGAACGAACACTCGGAAGTCGATGGTGTTGTCATCGTTGGGGTACATTCTGCAAAATTCGACAACGAAAAGTCATCAGCTAATATTCTTAGTGCAGTGATTCGCTATGACATTCAGCATGCAGTTGTCAATGATGCTGAAGCCAAGATGTGGCATACATTAGGAGTGGCTTGCTGGCCAACACTTGTGGTAGTAGGACCATCTGGGGAAATATTATTGTCTCTCGTGGGAGAAGGGCATAGACAGACATTGTTACATTTTGTTGGAGCTGCTTTGAAATTTTATAAAGGAAAAGGTAAGTTAGTATGCCAAGTGGAATCTATGATATCATTGTACAGAATAAGCAAACTTGTATCACACCTCAAGTTATATGTACCACTCCATTGAAACTACAGCCAATCAAAATGGAGGAAGGCCATTGTATATTCAACATTGTTATTCCACTATTCCTTCCCATCAGACATTGTGGTCTGAACTATATCAATTGTGTGGGGTTTTGATGCTCTCTTGTGGCATAATCCCACTTGTCTATCGTGTTATATTGTACACACAAGGCTTGTGCATAGAAAATACAAGTGGTTCATGGGATATTCCATGGTTTGACACTCAAAACCTCTGTATAACTAGTATAACTATTGTATTATCCCTGGAAAGGGATGGGATAAGAAAAATTGGAAGGGCTAAACTTTTGATATGATGACAATCAAACCCACCATGGTAAACTTTGTTATGAATAACGACTGTGAAGTAGGAGGGGGTGTGAGAGGACGTTATGTTTTCTGTCACCATGGCAATATACAATTTTGCACTTGTGTTTGGGGAGTACCGTAAAGGATATATTCTGACTTTCATATTCATGCGTAGGTCAAATCAGGGACCACCCAATTGGTATTTGTCTGGCCAAAGATGAGATACCAAAGACAGGTCTGTCGTTTCCTGGTAAAGTGTGTGTTGACAGTTCAGGCAAGAGGCTTGTCGTTGCAGATACTGGTCATCACAGATTACTGGTCATGAGTGTTGAAGGTGTCATACATCATGTGATTGGCGGAGGAGAGAGGTTCCAAAGTGGGTTTCAAGATGGGGATTTCATTGCAGCAAGGTTTCATTCCCCTCAAGGGGTTGCAATGCAAGATGAGATCATTTATGTTGCAGATACAGAAAACCATGCCATCAGAAAGGTATTCCATAAAATCCTAGTAATAATTAACCCCCAGTTGTAAGTTCCCAGTTATAAGCCCACTAGTACCCCTTCTCCTGGTTATAAGCCCATCATGCACCTCTGGTATCTTGCATGATGGTGTTGCTGCCTCAAGAAACAATGATTGAGAAAATAAAAGATATGACCATATCTTGTTCATCCAGACATCTCTTGTGTGTTCCAGTTATAAGCCCCCCACCCCTGTCACAAGCCAAACCATCAAAAGCCCTCACAAATGAGTACTGTATAACCTCAGGGCTTATAACAAAAACAAATTATGGTAATTAATTAATTTGTTTAATTTGATGACATCATGTACTTACCTCACGCAGCTGCTGTCAGTAGCCAATTACATGTCAATATAATTCCCAGGTTGATTTGAATGGTAAAAGTGTAACTACTGTTGCTGGAACTGGACAACAAGGGAATGACAAGGAAGGAGGTGGTATTGGAAAAGGACAGCCTATCAGCTCACCCTGGGATGTGATTATTGGGCCTCCTCCAGGTAGGTTTAAAAAAGATAAAACAGTTTTCCATGTTTGATACTAAGATCTAAGCATATAAAATGATGAGAGGACATAAAGGTGCTGACACACGGTGCAACATTGGACCCAACATTGCAAGCAATTTTAATCGGGGTGACACACCTTGCAACAAAATCATGCAACATCACTTGTGTCAGCCTGCTATGTTAAGATATATGGTCAGCAGCTATAAATTTGGTGCAAGCTGATTAGCTGGAAATTTCAAAACGTTGCATGTGATGTTCACATGATGAAATTTGTTGCGCGCAATGTTGCAAGAGTAGAGCGCGATTCAACTTCAGATTTGTTGCATGCAACGTTGGGTGCAACAAGTTTGGGGTAGACACACGCTGCAACATTCCTGATGGTGTGCAATGTTGCATGCAATGTTGCACCGTGTGTCAGAACCTTAAGAGAAGTAGGAAGCCACCACATGAAGAAGAGTGGTTTCCAGCTTTTCAAGTGCCATTATGTCTYGTAATTTAAAAAAAATGAAGGGAGTTAAAGCCCCAGCTCCTCCCCCTTTCTGACTGTATGAGCGATTCTCAGGAAATTCTTTGCATCACAGGATCAAAAACAGAAGAAAGTAAGAACGCTGTATTGTATGTTGCAATGGCAGGAACCCATCAAATATGGGCCCTCTATTTGGAGGATGGATCTTGGCTTAAAGGAGGGTAAGATTTATATATGTATTGCATATGGCATTCACAAATTATAAGTTCTAAGTAACCAAATATCAATTTCATTCAACTCTGAAACAACCTCTTGGCTAATCTAAATAAGGGCACAGCCAACGCACAGATTGAACCCTTAAACAACACTCTCTGGGATGATGTAATTCAGGGCATGGCCAACTCACAGATCAAATTAAAATTTATCGTGTTGGATCTCGTAAAAAGAGGACATTTTGACTCACTGAAAGGATTTTGTAGTTCCCAGAAAGCTGGAACATGTATCCGTTTTGCTGGAAGTGGAGATGAAGCCAACCGCAACAACAGCTACCCACACAAAGCTGCCTTTGCACAGCCGTCTGGTCTTGCACTAGCGTTTATCAAGTCTTCCTGGTCCTTGTTTGTAGCTGACAGTGAAAGTAGCAGTGTTCGTGTTGTTGATATTGCAACTGGAGCTACCAAGGCAGTGGTAGGAGCTGACAGAGACCCTAATGTGAGTGACCATTACATCCTGACACCTTCTACCATGGCCACTTATATTACCGTTTTCACACATAAGAGAATCAGTGATTTACAATTTGAATAGCTACTGAGTTCTTCTGAAGTAGAGTCTGGTAGGGTTTTCTGATTTATTGATACGTTAAGAGAGAATTGTTTTCGTATTCAAGCAGTGAGCGCCAAAAACTATTTTCTAGAATAAAGGCTGTTGCACAAGGCTAAAATCTTGTTATTCAGAAAGTTTAACTTGTTTGGAAGTGCAGATGACCGATGAAAGTGGAATCAAAGTTTTAACCCAAATCAAAAAAATTTGAATCAAAAATGAGATTTAGGCCTCCATTTGCTTATTTCCCATATATCTTCTATAAAAGAGCCTGACAAAGCAACATTCTAACACAAATGCAACAAAACGTCTTTGTAAAATTGAAAATACCGCTTCAAACAGGCATTTTATCATAGTACATCAGTTTCTAACTGTTTAAAAAAGGTTTTGAGTGTTAACCCAAAACGAAAATTGGAATCAAAACTCATACGAAAGTCTATTTTTTGGCGCTTTTTGCCATTATTCCTCWTTATTGAAAAAAATTTCCTCTTAAAAAGTTAATGCGTTACTAAAAGTTATCGCGTCATGATTTGTTAGACACTTGTCTTGAGCAGGTTCCAAATCACTTTTGACTGCGAGAGAGATGACTAACAAAATATCACAGAGGCGTGGCTGTTACCGTGACCGTGAAAGCGCGGTATTTTAGTCTTGTGATTGGATGAGGGCTAACCTGGGATGATATAAGCATCTTCAACACTGTGTTATAAAGTAACTGTATTTAACGTGGGTAGTTCGTTCAGCTTATAGCTGATATCCCAGGAACCTGGCGGTGCGCACTTAACCCCTGATCTCCGTAGGTGCTTTGTTTTAAGAGTATTTAAAGCTGAAGGTACACGGATTAGAGAAGACGAGACAGATAGGGAAATCCTGAGGATCAAACAGTTGACCTCTAACTCCCTAGGCTGCGCACGAACCAACTGAGCTACGCCTGCTCCTGATAATAAAAAGGTATACTTGTACTTTCAGAATCTGTTTGCTTTTGGTGATGTGGACGATAAAGGGGTTGACGTCAAGCTTCAGCATCCTCTTGGAGTAGCTTGGAATTCCGTGTCACGAGAATTGTACGTTGCTGACTCTTACAATCACAAGGTATATTACTACGGAATTRAAATTTTTTGTATGGCTCTAAAACACTTATTTTAGAGGCGTGCTTTGGTGTGATGTAATGTGGTGTAGTGTGTTGTGATGTGGGGTGCCGTGGTGTGTTGTGCCGTGGTGTTGTGTAGTGTGGTGTGACAGTGTGGTGTGGTGTGGTGTAGTGTGGTGTGGTGTGGTGTGGTGTGGTGTGGTGTGGTGTGGTGTGGTGTGCTTGTATACCATAAAGTCAAAGTCCGAGTATTTTGATTGGATGAGCTGCAATGTCACCGCTTTGTTTGCTTTAACGAATGTCGTTCTATAAGTTCTGCAGCACGACGAGGCTCTTGATTGAATCTTTACAGTTTTCTAAAGTCTTCCATTCTTTTAGATCAAGAAAATCATTCCCTCTGACAAGACATGCACCACTTATCTTGGTGATGGCAAGCCCAGCCCAAGCCTCTTGGACGAGCCGGGTGGGTTGTGCATCAGTCCGGATGGTCAGCGGATGTATGTGGCTGATACGAACAATAGTGCTGTTCGCGTTGTCGATCTTGCCAGTTCTCAAGTCACCAAGGTATAACACCAACACTACACGTATTTACCCTGCACACATTTTTATCAAACGCACTCTTTTCAAACATAAGAAGTGTGCGCATCCTTATTAAGTGAGTGTGCCCTCTCAGGGATAGGAAGGGGATATTGATTGTACATCTGCGTGCGTCTTTACTAGTTGAGCTGATTAAATAAAAAAATAGGCGTCCACTTTCTCTAACGGCTTTTGTAATCATTCAGATTACAGTAATAGATCGAGAGAGCCATCGTAGCAGTTTTAAAAAACCTCGGGAACAAACAGATTGCGGCCATGTCACACAACGTGCAATAAAACGAATAACATCAACTAGAATACCTGTAACGCAACACCCTCCAGTGAGCGTGACACCACTGAAAGAGATCGAGGTCAAGTTGAATATTAATTTGCCAAGCAGTTGTAGTATCACTGAGGAGGCTATCAGCAAGTGGCAGGCATGCTGGCTGAACGACGACAAACAAGGTAAGATTTTTACTTGATCTTGTTATGAAAAAACTACCATACCGTACCAACGCTCACCATGCACCATAACCACCATGCATTCTGACCTCTCACCGCCATGCAGCACAACCACTCACCACCATGCACTCTTATCACTCTCGCACTGGCCACCATGCACCATAACCACTCACTACCATGCACTCTCATCACTCTCACACTGGTTACCATGCACCATAAACACTCACCACACCATGCATTCTTACCATGCAACTGACACTCACGTACCAGCATAACTCACCACTATCATGCACGACCACCATCCATCACCACTCACCTTCATCATTATACCTTGTAGGGGATTCTTCAAAYCAGAACTGTTTCAGTCCACCATTAGGAGTCTTCACGGCGGATTCATTGAGCGCCGTTACCATAGCAACCTGGCCAGATGTCCCGACATCACAGCAGTCCCTTACCATGCAGGTTCTTGACAATCAAATAATTAATATTATTAATATTTATTATTTATGATATTTATTATTTATATGTTTATTCAAATCTCTTTGACTTAGCCGTCGTCTCTAGTTTATTTGCTCGATGTGGTTCAGTGTACTTATTGTTTATAACATATAATCTTTTTTATCCTCCAGATTGAGGCGTTGGTGTATTACTGTGAGCCAAGTGGTACATGTAGGATGGAAGGCCTGATATACCATGTACCATTTGTGTCCCAAGACGTGACGGACCATAATACATTGGTGCTCAATCATAACCTGAAAATATGAGTCTGCTGGGGGCATCGAAGCTCAACGTCTCTATGGTGAACTTTGATTCCAAACTTCCTTGTTTTCTGTTTCCAATGTCTGTGCTTCCGTCTGTATTTTCCTTTTTCTGTCTGTCTGTCCACATGCAGTCATAACTAAATGTCCCCTTCAATCGTCTTACAGGCTATCCCAGCGCCCACCTATGACGTCATCATCGTTRCCGTGACGACGCCGACGTAATCTTAGATGACGTAAGACACCAGCTAGACATGACCAACGCTTGAATTGGGGACCTTGACATTGATAGAATCCTGAATTACCTAATGATTAATGATAAATACTTAAATATAGTAATCTTAATTGTCTGACATGCTTTGCTGTRAAAAAGTAATCCTTTTTTGACATCATGACATTATTCATGATAAATAAATAAATGGCACGAGGAATCATAAACACTTACACACACGGAATATTAATATTCATATCTAGCATCAATTTTGTTTAAGAATCGAAAAGTGACCCCTCAGGGAAAATTACGTATGTGGCTTTGATTCGTAGAAAGCAATCGAAAAGTAGTAGAAAAATAATTTTAAAAATCATTATATTAAGTGAAGGAAGTATATTAGTGTATTGAAGGCTAATAATTTTTGATAGTGTTAAATCCAATATATTTATGCTCGTTTTTTTCACACAAAGGATGAGTTTGACTTAAGAAAACACAAATAAATTATTATGAATCCATGGTAACCAAAATAAATCTGTCTTCACTCTTGGGAAAATGTCATTTTTCTCAACTTGAAAATAGCGGATTGAAAAATTAACATTTAATAGCTTTTAAAAAGCTGGAATCAAAAAAGAGAAAATTCAATATTGTGGTCGTTAAACATGCAGGTTATAAAACATACCTGTTTAAATATTGTTTGTAAATTAATCTTAATTATTTAAGATTGATTGCTTTTGAGAATGCGACTTTTGACAAGAAAGATTTTTGAGCAGTCAAATTCACCGTAGAAACAATAACACTCGGTAATTTTGATTTCAGCAGAAAGTTTCTAGAAACAGGAAACAATCTTGGAACTCGGTAGATGCAACTTTTACATGGGCATTGTCTTAAATTGTAGGAATGAGAGAAAARATGGCGACTTTGTGTACGTTTTAGAATTATATTCTACATTTTGTAAAAGAGTTATGTAGTGATAATGTCAACTTTTTAATATAAAAAAACTTCAAATTAACCGTAAAAACTAAATTTGGGTGTTCACTTTTTCTTTAGTAAATGTTGTGCACGCGATTTGGTAAGGTCTTTTTGGGCTGCGGTTTCTCCGTGGCGCATGCGCAATAAAGCAGCAGACACCGTTGGCAATGAGCTACAGTATGCTAACACATAGCTTAGGCTACCAAAACCCAAACAACTATTAGAATATATTATTAAAAACAAAGATAACAGATATACAATGTCTAGTCTGCCACAATATAGCTATGCTTAGTGGTTTTATACACTTTGGCGGAAACTGTATCGTTTTTCATAGCCTGAACTGAGGAAAAAATAAAAAATGTTACGATCCAAACTAAAGAATTTACTTAATACTGACCTGCTGGAGAGAAGCATAAAACACTGTGTAGGAATGAAGTTTTTTTCTGCCAATCTCTTTTTCTTTCTTTTCAGATAATTTTTACTCGGTCTGGCTCCTAGTAGTCCGCCCCAGCCTTCTTCAATATTCTTCTCCTTAAATTAAAGTAGTTTTGGACTATAAGCAGATAGAAAACTCTACTTTTGAACATCGTAGTAATGTTATGGCTCAATGCTTTAGAAATCTATTCCTTCTCTAGATGTCTCAATTTAAAACTAGAATTGACAAGATATTGAACTATGCATGAAAATCCAGCGTAACTATAGAAATAGAAAATGCCAGAGAAAACGTAGCCATAGCCAATCAATGTAGGCGTTGTACCAATAATCCGCATGTATACTGGAGCAGAGGACATCCAAGTGAAAAGACGCCAATTATTTCTTTGAAAAAGCGGAGCATTTCATCACAAGTGTAGCGGAATTGATTCTCTCTTTGATGCGAGTGGAACCACTGTTCCAGGTGTCGCACGAGCAGGGTCGATAAAGTCAAGATCTTTAAGATGTTGAAAGTTTTAGTAAAAGGAGCAACTAATCTACCAGACGTCGATAGGCTTAGTGGCAAGAGCGATCCCTATGCGGTAGTCAGCTTCAGAGGTAAATGATATCAACTATTAATCATTTATCCTTCAGTCAGTATATTGATACCACGTTGATCCATAGAAATAAAATATTCGTACTCTTGCTTGTGGAGTAACGTAGCTAGTAAAGTAAAAACCATCAATATGAAAAATTGCAAATTTTTGATGAAAATATCTTAATAAATGTATTTGTCTAAATCATAAAATATAAACTTAAATATTCTAGTACTTTTCTACGGTTTTGAAAGTACAAATCAATGATACTCATGTTATTAGAAATTTTACTCAAAAATTCAAGGAAACCTTGATCAGTGATGAAACCTTCAATCAGCCAAAAATTGGTGCTGTTTAAAATATATTTGTTTTTTTGTGTGAAGTGGCGGGATATAAAAATAAAAAATATATGAAAGGATCATTTCATTTTTCGTACTTTTTTTCGTAACAATAAACTCTGTAGGAACCACCTACAAAGTGAAATACCGTGATGAGAATATTTATATTCCTCAATTAATATTCTAACTTATTAATATTATTCTAAATATAACAATAGAAGCCATGCAGTGATTTGAAGACTATGCTATTGAGTGCGGTCGTATTTGTACATGAAAAAATAACTGGCAATAGATTTTGTGAAAACGAAAATGATTAGCAATGCCGAGTAATGAGATTGGAACCCCCCTGGAAATATAAACTTCAAAAAGAGTTTTAGGAAGAAACAACGACCCTTAAAAAAATGCAAAAATATGCAAAGAAAAACACTAAAGTATTCAATAATCTGTACTCCTCGGTCTGTGTCTATTGATTTCTTTTTGATTGAAAATAATGTCGAAACTTTGCATATAAAATAGTTCGTATTWTTCAGAGTCTTGTCAAAAAATATAGCGTAATATAAAGCAATCAAAATGATCCGCTCTGTAGTTGGTCTTGGTAGATTCTATACAATAGAATGTAAAATAGCATCATTGTATTTTGTCTTCCTAAATATTCTACTAAACGTTATGTATTACTCTGTGAATCTATATTCTTTTCACCATTCTTCGTATCGACTTTAAACTTTGAGAGTTAAGTTACTGTCGAGCCTAGGTGAGGAAATTAAGCTAATTTGGTTGGTTAGCTGATCAGTCTTTTGACACGTGTTGTTTAGCTTGTAAAGAGATCATAAACCCAGATGCATGGACGTTTTAATGTTGCTTTCTTTTACACAACTATTATCCCAGAAACTAACTAACTATACAGATAATCAGTATCTTTTTAAACTATTTATTTTCTCACTAGGCAAAACACTYGAAAAACACTAATAAATTCGAGTTAAATATTAAATTCAAGCATATTCATGTTAATTGTAACCACTAGATACAACTGCCCTCTAATAGAATGCACACGTAACTTTGTATTTCAACGATTTCAAAACAAAAAGAAGAGTTAAACAAATAAAAGCATTATTTGAATAATTAAGGAATTGCATGTATTTTCTTGAAAATTATGAATAATCTTGCATTTGTTTTTCCTTTTGAAAGATAACAGTTTTTGTTGACWGGGGATAAAAAAGGTGTGTTTGATTCTTTCTTAATTTTTCACAAACTTTTTTTGGTGTTTTCTTTTATCGTTGCTGTTTTGATTCGTTTCTCGGTAGTCTCTCTCTATGCAAAATATACCCAAAATAATGCAGCTATAAAATTTGGAGGACAAAACATTAGAGTTTACTCTCAAGAGAATAGATCCTTTGCTAAAATTCAAATKAGTTAAAATCTAAAAACCTTTAAAAGCACTAGAAAGAGCACTTCAATTTAGTAACCTTACTAAGATTCATTATGCCAGGTGTTAAGTTTAAAAGTAAAATTTGCAAACGCGTTTGTATCCATTTAAGTCTCCTACTTTTTAGCCTACATTTTGATAAAAAATCTCAAATTTTTTTTCATTTTAAATTTGTACAAATAAAGAAATAAACAATTTAATTTAAAAAAGCCTAGCTTGCACACGAACCCAGCTGTCCTAATAGTAAGTTTGCATGTCATATCCAAAGTGACGATAAATGTACAGTTTTACAACATATTTCGTGGTTTTTTGGTTGTGCACAGGTTTGGAAGAAAAAACCGAAACCATCAAAGATGACCTCAACCCTGTCTGGAATAAGGTACATATGAGATTCATACTCATATCCTTTCCTTTGAGCGACGTGGCATTTGGAACGTTTGCGCATGCGTGGATGAAAGTACATTTAATTTTGTTGTTTTGCACAATTTGCATATATACAACTGTAAGCATGTGCAAACGTTTTCACGCATTGACCTCACGCATTGTGTGGAACTTTGTCACGCGGCAGCCATGTTGACTGGAATGATAGATTTCACCCCKTAGCCTCGCACTCAACTGCTCGAGAATAAAACAAAGGGTTTTTTTTATTCCCAGGAGAAAAAGCATGGCTGCCGCGTGACAAAGTTCCATACAATGTTGGAAATTGTTAAATTGTTGGAAATGCAAAAGAAATGCAACTAACTTCATCCAGAAAAAGCTGTGTGATTTCTTTTCTATTTTCATGTCCGTAGCCTTGCCTCATCCAAGTCAATTTCATTTCTTCAGTGATTGCATGGATAAAGTTTAGAGTTTTCATTTTATTTTTTTCTCCTCTAGGATATTCAGTTTGATCTTAATGGCCGTGCGTTGTCACAAGATGATGAGCTAGTCGTGACGGTCAAAGACTGGGAAAAAGTGCTTACCCATCGGTAAGAACACCAGGTTCCCCCGGAAAATAAAGATTGAACGGACGGACAGACGGACGGGCGATAAAGTGCTCGTTCAGTTGGTCTTAGTTCTTTTAGTTTGAGAATGGAAAAGTTCCGAGTGATACACGAAAAGGATTTACAAACAGCACTTCTTGAATAGATCTGGTAACCAAATTGTTATAATAAAGTTATTTTGATTTTTTTAGTTCTCTAGGTTCTGTGAATATTCCTTTAAAAAGCCTCATCAAAAGCAAAAGTCCAAAACAAGACAAAGATCTAGTTCTACTGGATGCTTCACAACGACCAACCAAGGTCAGCGTCTACGTGCTTGATATACATTAATGATATCCTACTTCCGGTTTCTTCCCGCGCTTTTATAGCAACTGAAGGCAGGCGCGTCAGATTTGCAATACATTAATTTTTCCCGCACTTTTTGGGAGCACGCGCATTTATATCCTGTCCCAGCAAAGGTGCTTCATCTCTTTTTTAAACGAATAAAAATAACAAAGAATGTCTACTTTATATCTAATTTACAGGGAAATATCCAGTTAACTATTGAGTATGACGCTCCACCTGAACCAGAAAAACAAGAGGAAGAAGATGAAGAAGAACTATATGAGGAAGAAGAAGAATCAGGTGCTGCCACTAAGCCAGGAGGCAAAAGGTACGGCAACATTTATACAAATGAAAACTCACATATAGACGAATTAAAACCAGTGTCCTTAAAAGCTGTTCATAACTTGTTCTCGTTTGTTTGACTTTAGATCAAGAAAAAGACGAAAACGAAGACAGTTATCAGATAAAGTGCAAGATTTTCAGGTCTTGTAGAGATTTAGGAGAATTTTGCTGCTGTCAAAAGTGTCAATAGTCCCCTTCACAGTTCCCTGTGTCATCTTGTAAGGTAGCCCTGCCTTTGCATACAAGCGAAACAAACGGTGAGCTTGCAATAATAGAGACATGTGAATAATTGTAAACTTTCTTTAAAAAGGTCTCTATCATTGCAAGCTCACCGTTCGTCTCGCTTCGATGCAAAGGCATGGCTACCTTTCAAGATGGCGCAGGGAACTGTGAAGGGGAATGTTAGCCGGCCTCAACTAAATGAAAATTTTCAAATATCTTATATATACATTCTGATTCCATCCTCTAGATACGCATTAAGGTGTTTGAAGCTCGTCAATTGTCGGGTAATAATATTCATCCATTGGTTCAAGTTAGTGTATCTGATGAAGAACAAGTTACACAAGCTAAGAAGTGTACAAACAGACCTACCTACAACAAGGTRCGTTTAGAGCAAGTACTTTCCCACATTAGAATGAGAATTATCACTGAAATTACTATGTATTTTGAAGTTCTTAACGTTTCCCCCCTCTTTTTAGTCGTTTGCGTTCAACTTCCACGCGTCTCCTGCAGAGTTGTTTGATGATTATATCATGTTTGAGGTGAGTGCACTGTACTGATGCAAGTTTAAGAAAAAGAAAAAAATTATGAAGGTTTTGGCGAATTAAACATAATGCTTATGGTAGTTATAATGATGAGATGGTGGCGATGGTCATGTCATGCTGATAAATACTGAAGATGACAAGTAGATAGCGTTGGTGATGGTAATGGTGGTGTTAATGATGATGATGATGATATGATGGCGATGATGATAGTAATGATATTGATAGGTTAATATGATAGAAGTACGTGATAATGATGGTAAAATGGACACGAGTGAAAAACATCTGCGCATGCTCTGAATCCGTATGCAAATTAGTCAAAACATAAGTAAATGTGACTTTCAAACATGCCTTATAAATTGGAATCACAAAATGCCAAAACTTAGTGTCTATGCTTGAAACTTAAGGCTAATTCTTTCATATTGCGTTTGTTAAGACAGTATCTTGATCTGCAAAAGTATACTCTCGAACTTTTTTGTATACTTCAAGAAAACAAACGTTTATTTTCTCACTCAAACTCTTCAAAATTCTTAAAAAACGTGCTGAAATGCACGCATGCGCAAACTCTTTTCTCTAGTGTCGGTAAAATGGTTATGCTGGTGGTGGTGATGGTGATGATGATGATGATGATTATAAAGATGATGATGATATGATGGCGAGGATGATTGTGGTGATGATGATAGACGCGTGATAATGATGGTGTTGATGGTTATGATGATCATTCACACATTGTTCTACCTATTATTTGTTTTTCGATTCAGGTGTTCGACTCTCTTAAATTCCGAGTGGATGAACTACTGGGGAGTTTTGAGGTACGTTAGTTATACTCAAATATCAATCTGAACAGTCTATATCATCAAGATCAAACTGTCGGAGTTACCATAACCATCTTATTAATGAAATGCTATATTTTGATTTCAGATCACTATTGGCGAGATTTACGATATGAAAGGTGAAATACCGACAGTTATTTCTACGCATTCTTGTTAGTGAAATGAAAGCCGAACAATATATGTATGTCTATCTTGTTAAAGGTCATTCTGCTATACGAAAATGGATGCTACTGAGTGGTCCAAGGGACACAGATAAAGATGAAGACGAGGAAAAGGTAATAAAGAAACTCAAGACTGATATAACCTAATGTAATTTGAAACATTCCTTTTATAGTATAAAGAGGCTTTGCACCATCACGTGATGGCAGCCATGACAGGAGGCACAACGAGCCGTTCTCCCTTGAGAAAATGAATTTTTTCTTATGTAAATCAGATCAGATTAGACCAGATTCAATTGTTCCTTGTCAAGGCTGCCATCACGTGATGATGCAAAGCCTCTATATAGGCTAGGTTAGGAGAAGTATATATGAAACACGAGAAAAGCTTTGAGATGACTTATTTTAGCTTAAAACGCTGCAATTAACATGAATTACACAAACAAAACTCGAATACTGATGAACATTTATCTGTCGTTCTATTAACCAAAATACTGGAAAAGAAAAAGGAGGAAGAGCAAAGCAAGTTGAAAGTCAAAAAGAAAACCAAAAAAAGACCCCGAGGGAGTGGAACACCAGCAGTAAGTTCTCACGAATAAACAGTTTATTTTTTCTCGTGCTGGTAAGCAGCAGCACTTTTAAGAGCATGAAAATGTTATATGATCATATTATGTTGCTCCAGTTTCGAGTTGTGATTAATATTCATGTGTTCCAGTGAAGGTCCGTGGAATTTCAAAGTGTTTGTATTGTTGAAGTTGTGTATCCTTTACTTTACCGTTGATATTTGTGAATATTTAGACACTGATTCGAGGCTAGCCTGTGCAAATGAGTCTGTAATCAAGGAACACAGCGGTAATTTGGAACTCGGAAAAGTTTTATATTACTTATTTCTACTTCTGATATCGTATTCACCTTCTACCCCAGGGATATTTGAAAGCAACGATCATTGTACTTGGGCCTGGTGATGAACCTCCGGTAGGTCACGTGATTCAACTTACGTGTCAATCAATGATATAAATCTGTAACAAACAAAGTATCCTTTTACCTTGGGCGTAATATTTTTCCATTTCAGACCACGTGTCATTCTCTTGAGAATAAGATTCTTTGTTTGAGCCGTACCCATATTTATATTCTTCTCGTGTGCAATCATTAAACAAAGAAATGATACTCTAGGGAATGACACATGGTCTGAAACATTACGTCCAAGCTAAAAGGGTCTACTACTCTGAAGTAATTTGCACAAATGTGATTTTTTTACAATTGTCTGGTGTTTCAGCCACCTTCTAAGCTTGCTGGAGAAGATGACAATGATGATGTCGAATCGTAAGATACTTATTTTTTACGTTTTACTTATTTTTCCCGACATGAGCAGCAGGAATATTTGAGGCAAGACATGGAAAAGTGTTCACGTCCTTAATAATTCATTTCAATTTTTTGTTTCCAAGGAATCTTTTACGTCCTTCAGGAGTTGACCTTCAACCTGTAGTTTTCTCGGTGAAAATATTCAACGCAGAAGACATACCTCAAAGTAAGAAACGTTTTACTTCAGCTCTCTTGTGTTCGCTCTCTTCTAGCTATAGTTAATACAAATCTTTTCTTCATAGTGGATTCGGCGGCCATGCAGGGAATCAAGAAGTTCTTTGGTTTTCACAAGGTAAAAACTGATAAACCTACACTAGAAATTCAAATGCAATTTTATTTTCTTAGAACAATCTTCTTATTGCTATAGAGTGGTTTTCGATTCGTATGAGTGGGAAACTATACGTCCCCCCCCCCCCCCCCCCCCCCCCCCCCCCCCCCACCAAACTCAACCCCACAATTCAGTGCAGGATGCGTTTTCGTCACCAGTCTTCGCGGAGAGGAATTTTGAATATCTCTGAGCAACGTATGAAATGCTATCTGGGAGGAAAACCTTGAAAGCCTTGAAAAACAAATGAATAGCAGAGCTAGTAACGCTTAAAGCCAACCAACTCTTTTTTTTTCAGAGCGGAGATAAACTTGTTGATCCATATGCAGTCTTGACTTTCGCTGGTAAAAAGGTTTGTATGTATATGAACATGGTTATCATCCTATCCCGCTACAGCAACCCGATCTAGCTTCATATCTATCAAACCCTGAAAGAACCCAGCTTTGAGTTTATCAAAGTCAGGACACGGCTTACTCGCGGATCAAAAACTTCACATGAGCCGAACCTAATGACATCAAAGACGACCGCATTGTTATCTATTGTTTAATTAGGTTCGGCTAATGTTAAGTCCGACGTTTGACCTGAGCCTAACTTAAAATTGGGTTAATCGTACCTTGTGAAGAGTCCAGTCACTGAACACTCCCTGAGAAGACTGCAACTGGGGAAGTAAATAAAAGAGATCCCATTTATACAAATACGTGCGATCTTGACCACTTGTTAATAACATCCTTCGTTATACCTAACAGGTTGAAACATCCATAAAGTACAAAAAGGATAACCCTGAATTCAATCAGATTCTTCGTGTTCGATCTCGGGTAAGATATGTTCATATCTGCTATGTTTCTTGGTCAAATTTTTCACTATTATCCTTAGTAAACCCCCCCCCCCCCCCTTTCCTTGCATTCTAAAACCTCTGTAATAGTCACCCCCCCCCTCCCCCTCCAAAAAAAAATTTCTGGATCCGCCACTGGATGGGCATGAAATGACGTAAAAATGAACTCAAGATCATTAACCTTTTTTTCTTCCTCAGTTCCCATCGATGTGTGATGTATTCAAGCTTCAGCTTTTTGACTGGTAACTCACGATTGCTTTCTCAACATTTAGGTTATACGCTAATTTCATTGCTTCAATCGCCTGTTGTATATATGTTTGCGCCCTCAGGGATCGATTAACAGAGGACGACTGTATTGGCACTGCTTACATATCCATACCAGAAATATCAGGAACAGGCGACGAAGGTATATAAGCCATGGTTGAAATTATCTAAATCATTTTTTAGACTGAATAGTATGTTTTATTGTATTTTATTCAGGTTTCCTACCGACGTTTGGTCCATGTTTCGTTAACTTCTACGGCTCGCCTAGAGAATTCTCTGAACTTCCTGATGAATTTGATGACCTTAATTTTGGAAAGGTAGTTTATGCATGAATTGTCCTCGTTGTTTTACGAGGGTAGAGCAGGGGCGTACGAGCCTGTGGCACTCGTTCAATGATGAACTTAGAAGTCGAGTTTTTCGAAGGGAGCAAAACCAGAAAAATATTACCCTCGAAGCACAGGAGAGCACAAACAAGTAACTCTACTTACATATGATGGCGAGTCCGGGGGGTGAACCTATGAGCACCGTGGTCAGTGGTTGATGAAATTAATAGCTCGCATGCGCAACGACCGTTCTTCCTATATATTATAATAAAAATACTCAGTATGAGAAAGATGATGATGATGCTATGGTTGTAATTTTTAGGGCGAAGGAGTTGCATACAGAGGACGAATGATGGTTGAGATCGCTACAGAGCTTGGCGAAGAAGTCGAGAAAGAAGTGGATAAAATAAGCTCCCAGGATGTTATTAGGACCCAGGTAATGTTCAAATAAGATAATTAATGATCCATCTCGAAATTTACTTTGCTGATGCCACCGTGTTGAGGACTTGGCTCTTGGCAACACGGAATCTATGGAACATCTATCTCTCTTCCTTGCCAACAACTATTAAGCGCTTTGGCGGACAACACTGAATCGATGGAACATCCAGTCTTCTTCACATTACTTCTTGATGCCGCCGTGTCTAATCGTAGGCGGGCACTTTTTCCTCTGACGAGGCCATGTTCAGAAACTTGAATGTGATCCTTGCATGTAGGTTCCATCCTGTTTAGAGACTTGGTGCCGACCCACAGACCAAGCAAACTGACCATGACGACCTACCATAACATTTTATTTTTTGACTTTTCTCTTATGTAAGTTATATTTTTACTGTTCCACTGTAGCCTCTGCTTCGACGTTGTAAGTACAAACTGTTTGCTTGTTTCTACGAGGCCTCAATGGTGTCAGAAGTGGACGGACCTGTAGAATTTGAAGTCAGCATTGGTAAGCTTCACTTAATGCAGTTATATATCTTAAAGGCTCCGGTTTGGAGCTGGCTCTCATGAGCCTTAATCCTTTTTAGGTCGCCCTCRAAAAAGTTGGAATTAAAGAAAGAAAAATTGAAACAAATTTAAAATAATTAGTTGTGATATTTAACTTTACGTACTCCTACGAAGAACTAGCTACAAAGCATCCAGAACGTCAGAGTATACTTCCAAACTTTTTACGAGGTGTTGAGTAACGCCTCCGTGGTTTAAGTCATTTAAGTTTCCTTTTTATTTACTTCTTGTATGCGAAACACCAACCCTGTCCCAATTGCAACTAGTAACCACTTGTCATTCTTATTCGCTTGTTGTATTCAAAACACCAACACAGTCCCAACTAGTAACCACTAGTCATTCTTATTTACTTAATGTATTCAGAACACCAACGCAGTCCGTCCCAACTAGTAACCACTAGTCATAATCGGTTTTGAACTCGGGGAACTGATATCAATAACTTTACCTTCAAGGTAACTATGGCAACATGATGGACGAATCAGTGGCTCCTTCCAATACGCCGCCTTGTAATGCTGTTTACGATGGCTGCAGCTACTATTACCTTCCGTGGAGCAACAATAAACCGTGTGTCTGCGTGGAAAGCTACTGGGAAGACATTGCTTTCAGGCTAGAGCCACTAAATGCGCTGGAAAGGATTATCAATCRACTGGTGAGGCAATAGAGTGGTCGAACCTTTATTAAGCGACCACCATTGAAAAAGTTTCAGGTGGTCGATAAATAGGGGTTTACAACTCAGTCAAAGAAGAATTTTCAGGTGGTCGACAAATAAAGGTTTACCACTAAGTCAAGGTATAAATGTCATTTGGAAAAAATCCGCTTTGGGACTCTGTCAACCCGACCGGTCGCTAAATAGAGGTTGATCACTTGATCAAGATATTAATGCGCAAAAAATCCTTTGAAACTTTAATAATCCGACCGGCCTTTAATAAATGTTCGCTTAATAGAGGGACTGTAATAATTTAACTGGCCTTAAACAATCATTTTGTTCGTAATTTAATTGAACAGGAAAAGAAGTTGCAAGCTGTGCAAGAAAGAGTTGCTGAGAAACAACCTGCAAAGGACATTGCAACGGCAATTTTTGAAATTCTTGACCAACTGATCGCAGACTGCACGTAAGTTAATAATAGTTTACTAAGAGACTGGCCATGGCAAGGGTTTGCAAACGAGACTATAAGAGATGCACAAACACTGTAAGAGATAAGAGGTAGTAAAAGATTAGCAAAGGCTGTAAGAGTCCACCATGCAGTAAACTGGGGTGGGATTTCCCATTCTATTTAGGAAGTGAAATACAACTAATTCAAATACATTGTCGGTCGGAGATCCGAAATTTGACTGAGTGTTTTCTCGTTAAAAATTCAAAATACACTTAACCAGACAATTTGCCAGCGCAGGCCATCGCTTGAAGTTGGCATACCTAGATATTAGGCAGATTAAGATTCCCGTTTTGCCTTCCCGCAAACGGCAAACATGACCACGTTCCATCGTTTCCCTACATTTCACTTTACCTTTTTTAAACCTTCTCACCAAAGACAAGTATTCTTTTGTTTATCTACTACTTGGAGATTTTTGAGATTCCTTTTCACTAATTTTAAACGGAATTTTGGAAGAATGGTCAACTGACTCTTAAACTCTCTATTAACTTGTTGCAAACTACRAAATCTATTTCGGTCACAGATTCAGATGTCCAACCGACACCTTTTCTATGAAATAGTTGTATATTCGTGTCAGATTGTGAAAACCAACGAATCTGGGATGATTGGAATTAAGAAAGTACGAGACAGACGGTGGTACACTGTAAAAACAGGTGAAAGCAGTGCAAGCAGTTCTAGATACTGTTAGTGACTGTTACCTTTAAAATATGAATAAGCGTCCATCGTTGATGAGGATTACAAAATGCATATGGAAGAAACAGAAAGAGCTGTACCTGATTTTCGTCTTCTAGGGGATTACTGCCAGCTCCAAAAGGACGCTTCAACCTGCTGGATAGAAAGATTAACAAGCAAAGACAGCAAGAAATGGTAAGAGAATCCAAAGGTCTATAGATAGGCCTGTTTAACTTAGGCGTAACTCTTTCCCTTGAACAACATTTCTTCTAGGTTTTAACTTAGGTTAAAACCTAGATGAACAGTGCGCTCTAAGATGCATTTCGTCTAAATTATTTCTTTGTTCAGTTTTCTTCTTATATTCATGTTATGGATATTTTCAGCAATATATAGCAACAGAGGCAACTGCATTGAAGGAACACGCTACTGATATACAAACAACTCTCAACACGATACAAGGATATTTGGACTCTCTACGTGATTTACTTATCGAGGTAAGTACGTCACGTAATACTCGCAATATATAGCAAACAGGACGTCACGCGTGACAAGTTGACAGTTTTGCACAATAATCCATACCCAGATTGCAGGGTTGGCCTATGCTTCTTATACACGCGTAGAATATGTGACTACTTAATGTGCAATGATTATTGTCTTCTAGCCTCAGAACTGCATCCCTGACGTCATTATTTGGATGATCAGTGGGGCAAACAGAATTGCTTACCACAGGGTTCCCGCCCATGAAATATTGTATTCACCTACTGAAGAAGGGCGTGGTAGAAACTGTCGGAAAACAATGGAGATCTTATTCAAGGTATTACGACGGATATATTATTACTACCATCACCATCAGGTCATCCATAACATTATCATCATCAACAACAATCATCTCCAGTATCACCATCACCATGGCCGGTTTTATCGATATCATCACCATCATCATCTTCATCATCATCAACATCATTACTATCATTATCAAGTATAATCACCATCTTCATCATCATCCTCGTCAACATCACCATCATTATCAAGCATTATCACCATCTTCATCATCGTGAACATCACCATCATTATCAAGCATCATCACCATCTTCATCATCATTATCATCACCATCATTATCAAGCATCGTCACCATCTTCATCATCGTCAACATCAATCATCATCATTAACACCATCACAATCTCCATTCCAATAGTCATCATCATATATCACGTTTTTCTATCGTAGTATCCTGGTAAGAAAGCTCTGGATCACAAAGACCATCCAGAACTCCCAGCGGTCGTCAGACTACAAATGTGGTTTGGCCGAGAGGAACATCAAGGGGACTGGAGTGGAAGGAAGCACGCTGATCACGGAGAATTCTGCATTTATGCTGAAACTGTAAGTTATACATAATGCAAACTGATATATAAATGTGTAATTTTCGATGGTTTTGCATCTACACATGACAACCCGCACAGCGTTTGCAAGACGTTACGATCGTCGGTCCCCAGAAATTAAAAGTTAAAATTATGCAGGATATGCAGGTTAGTTTTAAAAGTAACCAAACGCAATGAGCTACCATTTTAGATTTTTTCCTTCAGCTTTTCTTGTTCTTTTTTGTTCATCATCTTGTGAAGGAACCATCGATTGAGGAATAGAGTCCAATAACCGTAATAATATTTCAATAATATTGTTTATTTTTGTCGCAGTACGAGAATGAGATGTCAGTAGCAGGATTTTGGACCAAGAAAATGCTACCACGACCTGGTTTTTCTAGTGTCAACGGCGAAGTATGTATTCCAATCAATATGATAATGTCATGTCTCTTTCTTGGTGTCGGCATATAAGAKTAGAAGAAAATATTGATATAACCTTTGCTGTAATTGTCCATCTTGTTATCATCTGTTTCATGTTTAGGTTCCACTCGCGAAGGATAAGTTCAAAGCTCCTGAAGGTTGGAAGTTTGATGGAGATTGGTTCAAGAATCCTGAGTTAAGGTTGGTTGTTAGAGTTATCATTATTATCTATTTTCTTGATGCACTATACTCTATAGAATGAGTGGTGCATCACCTTTTGTTATCCGAGTGTTTAGTATTTGATAATCAGCGAGATCCCTGCCATTCCAATGCCCTGTCAGCCCTACCTAGTCTGAGGGCGTGTGGACCTTTTCGCCAGTCATGCATCAATTCGGTCAGCGTATTAAAGAACTTGTGAGAGCAGCAGCCCTCCTTACTGGCAAAGTTGTACTTCGACTTYCGACCTTAAAAAATACGATTGAGCTAATGACCTAAACTCTACTTTCAAAATGGAAAAATAGCTATCATTTAAGCGTTAACCCTACTTGTTTTGCCCTTGGAGTATTTGTTAGTATTAAATCAGGTGCCTGTGAGCATTAATTGTAACTCTTATTCATTTTAACCTGGCAGTATGGCGCTTGACAGCGACTCTGGTCACAAGTTCTTTCTTCAAGATGTCTTTGAGAACGAGTCCCGTATGATCCCAGGAGGAGCCTGGGGCAAGGCTTCTGTCCCATGGACCAACGTGGTATGTAACACATCATGGCTGCGTGGGTTAATTCACTCCAAATTCAAAACTGGATGGGTTTATCGTTTGTCAATAAGTCTTTCATCAAGCGATGCAACACTTCTTTTGCTTTTTTAAGGGTTTCGTACGGTCTAGGTAATCCATAAAATATTTATTCCATTGAAGAAAATAGAGGATATTACATGGGCGCGCGGAGATACGAATTTTATCTTCGAGTGTTGAAAAGATTTTCAACACGAAAAGATAAATTTCGTATCTCCAAGCGGCCATGTAATATTCTGTTTATTATATRATTATCAATGAAGTATGTTTTGGCTTTTTCAGGCAATTCTTTCCGTGTATTTTTGAATATCCATCGCAATGGTGTTATCTTCACACGTGAAAATAACATGTTATTTTCACGTGTGAAGATATCAATTTTTCGAAATAGAGAAAAATAGATATTTCATTGGTAATTATATAATAAAAATGGTTAACTAATTGTCATTTAGTTTTTATCTTATATTTTGTGTATAGCAAAACGACCCCTCTGAAGGACCAGAAAATATAAAATGCCCGCCAGGATGGGAGTGGAGTTACGACTGGCAGATTGACATCAACAGAGCCGTCGATGAGGAAGGTACGCACAAGTCTAGTAAGAACACTTCCAATATTACTTAGATTTGCAAGGTAGAAAACAATCATGTGTTACAAAAGTCACCAGTAAAAGTCAATAGTCAAAAGTCACTAGTAAAAGTCAATAGAATATTATAAAATAATACCTTACCGATATCAATCCGGCTGCCACATCAACCATATAATTTCCAGGAAATTTTATGCAAATCTTCTGACTGCCAATGGCAAGTTTTCGGCATGCATTCTGACAAAGAATGTTTCAAAATTAAGGTTGTACACACTAAAACCTTTACCATCCAGGATGTTTCTAATGTAACAATCTATTCCTAAGTGATATATTTTAAGAATACCTTTGTTGTCCATGCATAATTCTACTATAGGCTGGGAGTATTCAGTTGATGTCTCGTACGGAGCGTATGGACCAATACAGAAGGCGTATCATCTTGTACGTAGAAGACGGTTAGTCAGAAACAGGGAACTARAGGATCCTAATGCTGCAGTCAAGAAGGTAAACTACATCTTGATATACATGATAGGRTTGGTTTTTGGTCCTTTATGGTGCTCCAAGAAGATCAGGCTTTCGATCCCTGGTTCGCCTCTCAGCAAAGACGAACTGAGTAGCCAGTTATTAGCTAACTTAACAGTCAAGTGCACTTTCAAGTAGTTTTTTACTTTCTTGTTTAGAAAGTTAGAATAAGCAACTTAAGACTTATCAAACCGGTGAAGTATAGTAAAATGAAGAGGGAGTAAATATTTCTCAAAAAAGTGCACGTATTTTCCAGCAGAAGTTTAGTAATATTGTGCCAATATTTTGGTGCATTTCCAGGCTGAGATAGCAGAATTTGCTAAGGAAGGATGGGAGTACGCAAATCTCTTCACCACAAGATTCCACGCCAAGGAAAGAAAGATGGATTTCGTGCGAAGACGTAGATGGCACAGAAAGATGGTGATGGTTGGCGGTCAAGAAACTCCTCCTGAACTGCCACCAATCTTCGTGATGCATGTGGATGGAGAGGTAACTAGTAAATCTCTGAATCAGTTTTGTTCTTCTTCCTCAAATTGTTACAGTTAAAGAATAGTCCCCTTTACAGTTCCTTGCGCCATCTTGAAAGGTAACCGTGCCTTTGCATAGAAGCGGACAAAAGGTGAGCTTGCAATGATAGAGACAATATGAATAATTTTTCAAAGTGTTAAAAAAGGTCTCTATCATTGCAAGGTCACCGTTGTCCTCGCTTCAATGAACACGCACGGTTACCTGTGCAGGGAACTTTGAAGTGGACTATTACATCTTGGTTTTCCTTTTCTCGTTTTGTTTTGTTTCAGAATGACGCTAAAAGCTGCATTCGCAACATGCCAAGAATGTTTGTGACATTCAAAAGTTAGTATTATCATTTATCTTTTTGCAATTTGAACCTTCGCTTTTTACAATAATCACGATATGGATCTATTATGTCTTCCCTTTTTTATTGTCCCAGAACCTCGTAATTTTCAGTTGTGGGTTTATTTGTACCAAGCACGTGACCTTCTGTCCAAAGATGAGAGCGGCATGAATGGTATGTACACTGATATCTCTATGAAGCAATTCCCTCACTACACTAGGCGGACCGCACGTTGCTAGAAAAATTCAAGACTGTAAAACAAGCGTATCTCTATTCAGCGGAAACATCTGTGTATTAAGTGGAAACCAGGCAAGGTCCGAAAGGTGTCCGTTTAATACACGTACCACAATTAATAACAGTAACAACAACAACAACAACAACAACAACAACAACGAAAACAGCAGCACCAAGAACACAACAACAAGCAACAACAACAAGCAGGAAGAACAACTTCAGCAGCATCAACAACGGCAACAACAATGACAACAACAGCGGCAACACAACGACAACTGTAGACATGAATGTAATTGACCATATTTTTCTTGTAGATTGTTATGTAAATGTGGCGTTTGGTAAGCAAAGCCAATGTACCGAGGTACTTACCCAGACTCTGTGTCCATGCTGGGACCAGACACTGATCTTTGATGATGTGGAAATACATGAAAGTCTGGATGACATTGTTGCGCATCCGCCACAAGTCTTTCTGGAGTTCTTTGACAAGGACGCCTTTGTAAGATAATTGACTGAAGTTTTCTCTTTGAATAGACCGCTATAGGTCGAGTAAAATGCTTTCTCGTGACTTTGTCTAGAATAAGATTCATTGCTTGATTTTTATCCATTTTTATCCATTTTTATCCATTTTTATTTACGTGTCTTCTCGTGCACGACCGTGTTTATCAATTCACCAGGGAAAAGATGATTATATTGGCAGATGCAGCCTCCTTCCCGTGGTCAGAYTCCATGGACATCAAATCCCTGAGCCCAGCCTGGAGTGGAATGATATCTATGTTGGAGCGACTCGACAAGGTCAAGTTCTTGCTGTCTGTGAGCTTTTTCTGGTAGGTTCTTTTGAGCCAGCTGTACACTAGATACATTTTCCATATCTTTCGTTTGCGTTGTCTGATAAAAACGAGAAATATTTGTGGCCGTGGGGTTCTCTGAACCTCCCTAAGTTAGGGGTACTCATTACTAAATCGCTAATGTTACATGGAATACAGAATTTGATGCTTTAATATAGATGTGTTGCACCATCACGTGAAGGCAGCCATCTTAGATGGCAGGAGCAATACAATCGTTTTACATAAGTAAGACTTCAATTCCAAAGAGCAAAGGGATTTTATTTTTCCATCTAACCACAGGCAGTCCATACTGTATCAATGGGTGCCGGTACGTGATGGTGCAAAACATCTATACGAGCCTTTCCACCAAAATTTCATCTAAGGCCCACCGTGTATCGTAAGGTAACTTTAGAAATAAAATAAAATCAGTCGTGAATGTACGTTAATGACATTTGTTCATTGTTCTAAACAGGACGAAGGATCAGAACTTCCCTTTACTCCACTCCAGCGAGATGAAGTGTTCCAAGTAAGAGATGGTGTGAGACCAGAGACACAAAGAGCAGCCATCGAGGTAATGTATACTTAAACATTTAAATCTGAGCAAAGCAAAAGATCTTATCAGATCTTTTAAAATTTCGCACGATGAAATTACATCATAGTAGAAGTAAAATAAGTAAATAAAAAAGGGGAGTCCTCGACTTCATTTAGCCGTCAGAATGCATGAACGTTCACCCTTTTTACGGTATAATATTTTGCTTTATCAAAACATTGGAATGACTTCATGACGATGAGCGTGCGGGCACTAAATTAATGCTTAGAAAGGATGCGCGTGAACAATGCAAGTGAACGTCCTTAAGAAAACGAATACTGGTAATGGACTAGACATTTTCCATTTAAGTTCCACAGGCACCCCAACTGGCGTATTTTATTTTAGATCTAAAGTAATAGCGTTCTGAATTGTCTACTTTATTCAAAGGTACTATCGTGGGGAGTAAGAAACATGAAAAAGTTCGAGCTTACCAACGTGACGTCACCGTGCATCGAGTTTGAATGTGGTGGATATGTGACGTCATCAGCTGTAATTAAAAACACCAAGAAAAATCCAAACTTTGATCAACCTGCTTTACCAAGGGTGATCATGGTAAGTTCGTTGCTGACTAATAATAAATCAACCAATTGTTTTGAATGAAGCCGTTATTATACTGCATGAGGCCTTAGCTCTTTAGTCTTAATAATGGTCAGTGGCTGTACGTTATTATACTGAGCCTTTAGTGCTTGGGACTTTATGGTCAGTGGTTGGATGTCATTAGTTTTACTGAGCCCTTARTGCTTGGGACTTTATGGTCAGTGGTTGGATGTCATCAGTCATACTGAGCCCTTAGTGCTTGGGACTTTATGGTCAGTGGTTGGATGTCATTAGTTTTACTGAGCCCTTAGTGCTGTGTACTTGTGGTCAGTGGTTGTACGTCGTTATAGTACCATTTCTAACAATCGAGGGGTGCTCTTCCAAAACACTTTGTAATTTCGAAAAACGTTTAAAAACGTTTCGTACGTCCTGAAAATAATGAGAAATCTGTCAAAAGATTCATTACGGTTGTCAAAGAATTCAGACTGCATGATGAACAGGTCACAAAAACTATTTCAGTCGAATACTTACTTGATGTACTTGTTTTTGTCTTGCTACAGCACCTGCCAGTCAAGGAAATCTACTGTCCACCAATCAACATCCGTGTTCGTGACAACAGAACCTTTGGTCGTCGTCCAGTAGTTGGTGTTCATTCAATCAAATCCTTGGCACCATATAAATGTACCATGCCTGTCAAATCTACGGGTGCCGCTGCTGGGATACCCAAGAAACGTACGTAAGAAAACAATCACGATATTTCAGTGGAAGAACAATTTACTCTTAGGATATTCTAAGTACTTGTGTCCATTTTGTTTAAATCATTTTCTCGTCTCTTCTTCTACAGCTCCTCGTACTACATCTACGTCGAGTCAGCAGTCACATGTCGTTACCATGACACCAGAACAGCACCACGAAATACAAAAGAAACAAAAGGTGCATATTTAGCCATAATGATGCAGAAACTAATTCCATGGCAACATGACTTGACAACAAAGTCCCGTGAAACACATACCGTTTCTATGGTAGCCATGTCAAATGTCGTTTGCTTGGTAACATATATAAACCATAGTGTAACCAAGACTGCACACTGCTGTCAAAACAAACCTCGTTTCTTTTTTCCAGGAAGCGGACGCTAAGATCGACTGGTGGTCCAAGTTTTATGCATCGATTGGTGACGTCGAGAAAGCTGGCACGTATCTTGAACAGGGATATGAAACTATGACGGTAAGTAAGCTATCAATCAGCTAAATGAACACCTCGTCATAAATCTCTTTATTAGCCCTCAGTGAAGGGCAAACTGACTTAAAATGCAGAAAACTAGAGTCAAAGTTGGAGCACACTTTCAGGTAAAAAGGAATATTAACTTCGATGATTTGTCTTCGATTTAGATCTACCAAACACAGCTGGAGAAGGTTGACAAGTTTAAAGGATTTAATGACTTTATCATGTCATTTCCTCTTCGCCGTGGGAAGCAAGATTTAGACGATGATGAAGAAGAGGATGAAGACTCGAAAGCAGGAGAGTTCAAGGTATAGTTTTGTCCTCACTTATAACCGTTAAACGTGTCATTGCTCGTATTAGAGAGTCTAAGCTTCTCGTTTACGTCAAACGTGAAACGTCAGTTGACCATTAAAAAATTCTTTAAAATTAGTGAAAAGGAATCGCAATGCTCTCCAAGTAGTAGATAAAAATAAGAATATGTGTCTTTGTCGGGAAGGTTTGCAAAAGGTTAAGTGAAATGTAGGGAAACGATGAAAACGTGGTCACGTTTGCCGCGGTTTGCGGGAAGAAAAAACGGGAATCTTAATCTGCCTATTACCAGTAGATTTACTCGAGAAAAATTGGTCGGTCCGCAATCATTCAAACGCAAAGCACTATGCCTTGTCGAGGATTATGGCCAAAATGTGGCTAATCAAAATTCAATAAGGAACTCAGAGCAGTCAATAGATCTTTCAGTTAGAAATTTAATATATTTAATATATAGTTTGTGGCTCGTAAGGACATAACTCAGGTCCCCTGATTGATGCGTCAGGGGTAGGGTAGGGGCGTGTGCGTGTATTCATCTAACTATGTTTCATTTCCATTTCTTACCTCGTGCATATTTCAGGGTACGTTTCGAGTGTACCCCCTCCCTCCAGAGGCTTCATTGTCCTCTCTTTCTGATACCGTCTTTGCAAATTTACCGCCAAGTAGACCACAGGAATGCATCGTTAGGGTCTATCTTGTCAAGGTTAGTACGCCGTACCTTCAATGATAAAAGAAAATTGATTGACACATGTCACTTTTATATATTTTTGAATTAATGTTCTACTTCCGGTTTGTTTTGCTAATACCCAATTTACTGGAATCCCAGTCATAACACATTTTCTTTTGTTTTCAAAGGCACTGGACTTGCAGCCACGAGATGCAAACGGAATGGTGCGTGTGTTATAATATCGATATTTTATATATATGTTATTTTGGGGGATTTTCGGAAGTAATTAATGGAAAGATGGGGATGAGATGGATGGAGGTGGACGGACGGACAGACGGACAGACGGTCAAACGGGTGGGTGGAGGTGGACGGACGAACAAACGGTTGGGGTGGGGTGGATGGATATGCCGTGTTAGTGATTTACTGATTTTCAGAGACAATATTGGTTGGCTTACCCAGGTTGATGCATATCCAGTGATTTCCATCGGGAAGCAAAAGATAGACGACGAAGACAATTACATAGCCAACAGCTGTAATCCAGAATTCGGAAGGTAAACATTTTTTAACGCTCAAGCAATCTTGTTTTAATGAAATAACAAAAACCTTGATTCGCCAAGTTACGACAAGTTATTTTTACAAAAAAAGTGATTAAAAAATTGTTATTAAATGTTAGATTTACCCTTTTTGTTCTCAAAGAATGTATGAACTGACAGCCAACATCCCACTTGCTAAAGATTTAAAGATCGCCATCAAAGACCGTGATGTCCTGGGTAAAGATGACGTTATTGGTGAGACTGTGATTGATCTGGAACAGAGACTTCTGAGCAGCTACCGTGCTACGTGTGGACTGCCAAAAGACTACTACAGGTGCAATACATAACCCTCAAATTTATGGGTCACAGCTCTTTCTTGTTATAGGGCGTTATCACGCGACGTCACAGCGGCCATGTTGGAGTACTAAAACCAATACATTTTCTATCCTCGGGGAATTGAACTTTATTTTTATGCAAAAACTCTGCAGAAAGCTTTTATTGTTTGGTACACCAATATGGCCGCCTTGTCACGTGAGTAAAAACGCTCTATAAGTTGTTTCCCTTTTGAACTAATGAAATCCATATTTCCAAGTCTTGTCAGCCAATTAGAGTGCATCAGCAGAACCCATCTGTGTTATACATACTTCTGCGCACATCACGCCATGCAAATGAACGATGTCGTAGCTCATCAAACTCTTTTTTCAATTCAATCTGTAGTTCAGGAGTCAATAAGTGGAGAGACTGTCAAAAGCCAAAGAAAATCCTGGAAGAGTGGTGCACACTCCACAACAAGCCCCCGCCATCTTATAGACCTGACTCCATTACGGTAGACAACAGAATTTACACTACCCAAGATCTTAAAGGTAATACTTACAATTTAGAAAGCTGTTTATAATAATCAGCGCATCAAAGGAATTTGGATTTTGGAAGTTCAGGTAAATTAAATTCGAGAAGCGTTTGTGGCGTAGTCCCCCTCCCCCAAGGCCTAATACTCAGGTTAGTGGCGTAGCGGTGAGAGCGTTTGCCTTTCACCAATGCGACCCGGCTTCGATTTCTCCGGGTTCTCATCCCTCCACAAAAATACTTTGCAAAAATTAATTTTTAAAGTCCAATTCGATCATGGAACGAGGGCCACAGGTTTGTAAGTCACTGCCTATTAAGTCATTATTAAAGTGTTACCCTCGCAAAACAAGGACGATTGAAATCTGGTTTCAAAGAAATGAACCGGAATGGAAGTTATGAAATATGGAATCGGAATTAACAAATGTAGAATCCAGATCAACGGAACCTTGAAATAGAATCCTTTATTAGCGATAACTCCTAATATCTGCATGAAACAATTACTTATTACTAATAATTCAATCCATTGATGAAGGGTTGGTAAGAGAAGACGACATGGCGCATAGACATCTTGGTCCCGTTGAACAGCGACTAGCACTTCACGTACTGAACCAAAACAACCTGCTGCCTGAACACGTCGAGACAAGACCGCTGTACACCTTGAAGCAACCACGAAATGAACAGGTGAGATGAGTACAATAAAAACTGAGCTTTGACTGAAAGAAAATAGTTTGTGTACAAAATTGTGCATAAATGATCTTGCTGATGAATGACTCCGAGAAAAAAGTACCGGGGATGCTCGTCGGAAATTTTTCAAAAAGACCCCTAAAAGATACCGGAAGTCTTTAAAAAAAGGCGTTGATGAATGATTTTTAACCCCTAAGAGATACCACAACAAATAATATTAAATGTTATATAAAAAGCGCCTAGGATAAGCCATAACGATGCGCGCTTCTCTCCTTTTCCGACACCCTAAGAGATACCAGAAAATGCTGATTTTCAAAAATTCGCTTCAACACCCTAAAAGATACCAAATCGCGAATTTTTACCCCTAAGAGATACGACGAGCATCCCCGGTAACCAGTTATGGTTTAATCTCGCCTTTTTGTTTCTCTATAGGGAAGACTTCAGTTGTGGGTAGATATCTTCCCAAAGCATCTCGGGAAGCCAGGACCCCAAGTCAACATATCAGCACGTGTGCCAAGAAAGTAATCAATTAATTAATACTCCATTGATATTATCTATTACAATACTTGAGATATCGTTTGTTATTTTGTACAGTGTGCACGCATTTTGCAGCCTTGACTACACAACATCTCGCAATACCAATCTTGTTCTTGTGGTACTAAAGTTGCACCAGGCTGGCGCTACGGAAAAGTGCTAGCTAACTTCTTTGGAGTGAACGCTAAGAGGACTTTGAGAGATTCCACTGATTGCTTGGTTTCATTCTCCGTCATCTCCTACCTCGTATGGAGTGTTCATGAGCTGAATCACAAGTTTTTAATATAGTTTTTTTCTAGCCGACACCACATTTTTCTGAGTTCGATAAACAGGATGCATCATGGTCTAGCTTAAGTACAAACAACACAATATAAGGCATGATGAACAAAATATGTTTGTACTCAAGCTAGACCACAATGGTCGATGTTGATAAATGTTTGACCACCATTTGCAGCAGTTAATAAGATACATAGACTTTTATCAGCTGATTGAAACTCGGCATTAGGTCTATGCTTCGTTAGCCTATAACGTCATAGCCGCCATATTGGTTCAGTTTAACAGAAGAATTGTTAATGAATTATTTTGTTACATCAACCAACATGGCCGTCGCGTCTTTGTTATTTCACTCCCATACACTCTCAAGCTTGCAGAAATACATGACACTAAGTGCTAGAACCTTCACTGTAGTCTAATTATAGCACTTTTGATATCTACCGTAGACATGTTGTCCGTGTCGTGGTGTGGAACACTAGCGATGTGTACCTAGAGGAGACGTCTGTCACAGGAGAGAAAATGAGCGACATCTTTATCAAAGGGTAAGCACATACATCTCTTTTAGCTTAGGTGTAATGTTCTCCAATTTCAGACCACATGCCATTCCCTAGAGTGCCTTGTTTTTGTTTAACGGTTGCACACGAGAAGACACATGAATATGGATTTAACTCGAACAAAGAAAATGACACACATATGGTTTGAAATGAGTAAACATTGCGCCCAAGATAAAAAGAGTCTATTCATATAGTAGCACATAATTTATGAAACGGAAATTTTCTCATAAAAAAATGAAATATGGAAAAACGAGGAAATGTTCCTGCCCTCCAACATGGCTGCCGTGAGTAACAAATGATTCGTGTTGCAGATGGCTAGATGGCATTGATGATTCTGAAGAAACTGATGTCCACTACAGATCCTTGAATGGCGAAGGCAACTTCAATTGGCGTCTTATCTTTCCTTTTATGTACCTTCCATACGACAAGAAGTTGGTCGTGACAGAAAAGGTATGTATGTATATGTACAGACCATTTACATATAAATGTAAGTATAACATGCAGATATATGATAGAATGAATCAATGTATTCCAGGTGAGATATCGAGGTTACTTGGGTGCCTGTATTATCTCTTCCTGTTCAAGATTTTTTCAACAAATGTGACATACCAAGCTTTACTCTATATGTTAGTGTCGAAGTTGGAGTAGAGAAAGCTCACTCCATATATGGTATGATATCAATTCCATATTTGGATTGTGGCGAAAAAGCGGCAAACAAAAAGACCGTCGTGGTAAAACGAATTCGACATGAACATTTTTGAAGAAAATAAAAAAGAAAAAAAAAGTAAAAAAAGAAAAACTTTGGAAAATCGAGGAAGTTTTGGAGGAAAGAGAAGGAGAGGTTCTCGTCAAATGGCTGCTAAGCTCTTCCTTAGTCCTTTTTCTTAAAGAGCGACGCAGGGAAATACGACACTCAATGTTTGATATGAAAATCTGAGATAAAGTAAGCTTGTCATTTGTTTCTGTGATGAGCTCCCCCAAATCAAAATCTAAGATCTTTCCCAGAGTGCCTGAATATCTTTCTCTGCGCATGAAAATTCAAAGAGAAGTTAAGAAGGCATTTGTATATTAGCATTATTAGAGCGTGACTGCACTGAGGGTATTGGAAATTTCTAAAACTTCAGGAGTGGGTAAAAAGTAAATGAAAAATTTTTTTCTTCCATCGTGGATCAAAATCCATGCATTTATTACATCATGCATTCATATCAATGTCAAAAAATTGTTAGCAAAAATAACCTTAGTAACATACATGAATGAATAATGTGATTTAGAAAATGACGTAATTTCTGAAATAGCCAATGAGCGTCATTCATGATCATGTGATTTCAGGAGCACTTATGGAGTATCAGCGCGACAGCCAAGAAGATGGTTCCGAAACTGATGATCCAAGTATGGGATAATGATATCATTGGCTCGGATGACTTTATTGGTAAGTGGGAAAAAGGAGTGACAAAAGTGGAAAGAATAGGAAAAAAGGAGAAAAACTATCGAGGGAAATGGAATATTTTTAAGAAAAAAATATAATTCAGCACGAGCAGCAACAAAAAATAATCAGGAAAATCAATGCGGCTTTCCCGACTGCATACTTAATGACATAAATGTTTGACTAAGTTGGTTGAGCCAGTAAATTTAAGTTAAGCTATGCCTCCAGCAATTATATTTGTATGTGCGCTTCGTAGTTTTAGGCCCTGGCTAAACGAGGAAACATGTTTCCAGAAACATGTTTCCCTAAATCTTTCCTAAGATGGCAAAACTGTCAGGAAACATCGGGAAACAATGTTTCCATGCGTCTTGGAAACATGAAATGTTTCTGCCGCACAGCAAAAACATTTTTTGCGTCTTGGAAGCAAAATTTGTTGCACGTAGCAATGTTTCGCATGTGGCTAAACTGGGAAACATCGAGGAAACATGCGCGCGTTAAACATGTTTCCTCGTTTAGCCAGGGCCTTAGTATTATTCCTCTTATTTAAATACACAATAAAAGCACTCCAAATAACTTTCAATTTTAGCTCCTCATGATATCATAAAATGTCGTTAACTGCTTCGAGTCTTTGTCTTACTGGAAGTTCATTGTTTACCTTTTCATTTCCTTAAATTAGCCTCCGAATAGATCGGTGTCATTAATATGATTTCTGTCCAAATGTTATTAGACATATTGCGTTAAGAGGCGAGGGCCTTAGCTGTAATTTAATGCACGTTTATAATCTTAATTAATTTCTTCAGGAAGTGTAGAGCTAGACTTGACACACATGCTTAAACCATCACCCAAGCCAAGAGGATGTAAGCTGCCTACAAGTCAATCTAATGATGATCGATTGGATCTGTTCAGTAAGAAGGTATCTCGTGGTTGGTGGCCTGTGAGCGCCACGAAGGATGGCAAAGAAATACTGACGGTAAGTTAACTTGCTTTTCATACCCAAACACTACTGTATGAATGGACGATGAGACAATTTGTCATGGTTTTAATTGGCTCAGATGGAAAACCATTGAATTGATGTTATACTATTTCTAAGATTGACTGAGTCACTGTGATTGGACAATACATTTTGACTATAGTTTTGATTGGTCCAGGCGAAAACTCATTTTCGTGGCACAATTTTTAAATTTCATTTTGATTGGATAAGACGTTCTGTGTTTTGATTGGTCCAAAAGCGAAACCATTGATGTGATATATTACCTTTTAAAAAGTCACTTTCTAAACCTCTTGAATAATTAATGAGCATTTAGACCTATCAGGTCCTTCAAATCCATCACGTGCATGGATCTTTATACCCGATAAAGAAACTGGACAATCTAAAAAGCCCGGGGCGGTTTTGATTTCGGAACCAGGGAAAATCGGGGCTGATTGTGCTGATGAATAAGTACTCACTGAACCTGAACACATAGAGAACTCTTGGTCACCAAACTGGAACGTTTCAACAACAACAATATCTTTATTCGTACAATTGACAAGAGTAGAGAAAACATATATAGGAAAAAAGTTGAAAAACCTATTTGTGCATGTCAGCTAAAAATAGCAGACGCTAATCGAGTTAGATGACAGCTTTTACTATAAACACATTCGAGCTCTTTATCAATAGAATTCCACAATCTGACACCATGAAATCTTATTGAAAATTTCCCATAATTTGTCCTTACAAATGGCAAATAATATGAATTTTTAGATGCCAGCCTAGTTTGATAACAATGTACTTTGTTTATTTGCTTAAAAAAATAACCAAAAATTGATGGCAGATTATTGTGAAAAAAATTATACATAAAGAAAGCGTTAAAAAAATAAATCAAGTCATGAAATTTGAGTATGTTAAGGTTTTTAAATAGTGGCTCAGTGTGTTCATTGTAGGAAGAAAAGGTGATGATCCTAATAATCTTCTTTTGCAAGGTTACAATTGGTTGAAGAGTAGAGTTATTGCCCCACACTACAATGCCAATTAAGTTAGAAAAGGATAAATCAAAGAATAGTAGAGCTGTATTGAAATGTCAAGGTTAACATAATGTCTTAATTTGGATATGATACCTATACCTTTCCTAATAATAGCAGATATATGGCTTATTTGATGTTTAAGTCTAAGGTTTGAGTCAAGGAAAATACCTAAATATTTAATGCATTTTTCTTGTTTGATTGGTTCCTTGTTTAGGCATATATTAATATTGCTAGAGAAAGATTTTTGAAGAGGATGAAAAATAATGAAATTGGATTTGTCTATATTTAGAGAAAGTCGATTTGCCCTCACCCAATTACTAATGAAAATGAGATGTTCATYGACTTTGCTTTCTAAAGCCACAAGGCTTTTATCAGAATAGAATAAATTAGTATCATCTGCAAAAAAGTGGTAATCAAATAATAAAGTGCAGCTTTGAAAATCATTTATATATAACAAAAAAAGAAGCGGACCTAATACGGAACCCTGGGGAACACCACAGGAGATATGGTGATACCCAGAGCTACACCCATTGATAGAAACAAATTGTTGCCTATCACTAAGATAGGATGTAAACCAATCTTTGGCTATACTCCTTATGCCATAGAATTCAAGGTTATCTAAGAGAATTGGATGGTCTACAGTATCAAAAGCCTTTGAGAGATCTAAAAAGATTCCACATGAAAAATGCTTATTTTCTATTGCCTTTGTCACTTTGTCAATGATTAGTAAAATAGCTTGCTTAGAGAACTCTTGCCTATTCAACTGGAACGTATAGAACACTGAGTTTAAGAAGCAATTTAGAAAATTCGTGGTCGTTTTGTTTCGGAGATACAAAATGACCACTCATGTCCTAAACATTATATTAAATGCCTTAGACGAGAATCCATTTACAGCTGTAAGAGCTATACTCTCCTATTCAATATGTGCTGTAAATGTCACTTTTCTATCCTCTAGTACTGAATGGATACTTCGTTTTAATGTGGGGAAACCATTTAAGAGCTTTTTCCTGTGCTCAAAAGAATCTATTCTAGATGTTACCTTTTGTTAGCTAAATTTCAAAAATCTTACATAAAGCTTTTTAATCAAAAGTGGAAGTCTTAACCACGTCCGAACTTTAAGTTCTTCGTTTTTTGTCAGGATTACGTTCGAGTCATTCTAGAGATTTCTGAACTGATAGGCAAAAATCACGCACGACGGGTAAAGAAGTCTATACGGAACTAGGATTCTCAGAGACAAAGTTTTATATTCATATGATTATTTATTGTTTTATATCATTAATTGCCAAACAGGGAAAGGTGGAGATGACAATTGAAATCTTGACAGAAGAAGAAGAAAAAGCGAGACCGGCTGGAAAGGGACGTGAAGATCCCAACAAGAATCCACCGCTTCCAGAACCAAAGTCAGTTATTAATCATCTTGCATCCACAAGAAGTCCCTTAATATATAGGCCCCTTGCATCTAACAGTCACGTGATGATATATCGTCCCTTGGGGAAGGCTCTGCTGGATGGCAAAAGAAACAATAAATTGGGAAAAAAATTATTTTGTGGTGTAGTGGTTAACACATCGGACTAGAATACCAAAGACGTGGGTTCAATTTCATCCAAGGGCATTTGATATTTTTCTCTTATTCTCTCTATTTTGGAAAAGGTTTTGAATATGACATTAGTAATCCAGCAAAAGTTCTTTAAGGTGACTGCAATGTAATATGCTTCCTATTTTTTCACRGGCCAAGCCGTCGTAAAATCACTCTAGGCTGGTTATATTGTACTATACTGAGATAGTCTTTTACTTTTCAATCAACAGTCGTCCTGCCACGTCGTTCTTGTGGTTCACATCACCATTCAAGACACTCAAGTACATCATCTGGAGGAGATACAAATGGGTTATACTGGGACTACTGCTTCTCATCATTCTTATTCTGTTCATTGCTCTACTCCTCTATTCTGCACCTGTAAGTAATATACGGTGTATTGTGCCTGCTCGGGTTCCCTGTGTTTTCTACGTGTCTTCTTTTCCGCAGTGACCATGCACAGTGGATAGTGCTACTTGGGGTCCCTGTGCTTTCTTATTCTTACCATACCTCTTTTGCTCTATCTTTGCTAGTGCTTGAGCTTCATCTTTGTACAAAGCTTTGATTACTGGGTTACCTGTGGCGAACCTTTTTTTTTATTTTGTTCATTTTCACCAACGTCTCTTTTTCATGTTATTCTAGGGCTACACTGTGAAGAAGATCATGAATGCTTGAAGACCACCCGATGACGTCCGTCCACCACCACCACGAAAAAACGAGACACCCACGATGCAGTGCGGACCCATTTGATCAGTGAATGTCAGAAATACACAACTTTAAAACCAAAGCCTTGAAAACGACGATAAACTGGGCGGGAAATGTCTTAATTTTAATATTTAAAACAATACACTAAATCACTTAATTTAATGAACTTTCTTTCTTAATAAGTAAGACAAAAAAAATTATGCCGCTTGTTCTGAGAAGGTCTTGAAATTAATTTTAAATTAATTTTTTAATCAATTTTTAGTCTTCAATTTTTAAAAGCTTTATAACCCGTTTACCGAATTTGTCTGAAAATCCACACTCTTAAGAAAAGTTATAAAGGTTCTAAAAAGACAAATGAATTTCGTAACAAAAAAATCGAGATATAATCTAATAGTGATAAAGATATCACCGACAACGGCGCGCGGATGAGATGGAATCGATGGAAAGGAATATTAACGCTTAATTACTATCACGTTGATATTTCACATTTTAGTATGTCAAAAATGTCAGTATGTTAGTATAGTAGAATGTGTGAAGCTCGCCTATACTAGAGGGAAAAGTAAATAAAATCGGCTAGGACTGTCTCAATGTTGACGTTGTTGAAAATTTTCGATTTTCGAGACTTAATTATCTTCTTCAGGACGATAACTTACGGCCATGACGTCTTTGAAAAAGAATCTTAATGCATGGCTTAAGAGGTTAGAATAAATCAATGGAAACTAACAGTGGTTCCACAAGTGGCTCTTCTTCCGAAGGGAAGAAAACCGGAGAACAATCCTCGAAGCACAGAAAAGAGCCAGAAAACAACTCTACTCACATACAGCGCGCTCTAGCTGCTACGCAACTCGGGGCTCCCGTCATTCCCTTTATTATCATTTCTTTATTTGTTGGCAACGAATAGGTACATTAAACGTATTTCGAACAATTCTCCTAGTTTCATTAATTTTTCTAGTTCTTATAAGAGATCTTTTAAAAGGGTAATAGTAAGGGCCACCGGTCTTTCTAAACTCAGGATTTTATTTAAAAGCTGCTAAAAACCCTGAAATAAATTAGGCGAAACCGGAGAAAAAAAAAAAAAAAAAAAAAAAAAAAAAAAAAAAAGAAAAACTGAAAAAGGAGCAAAAGCGTGAGTAAGTATAATGTTTAGGTCACGCATCCAAGTGCTAACCCTCCTCAGACGAGCTTGACTCAGTATCTTGAACGATAACGATTTATCCACTCGACCACGTTTCCAGGAGAATAAGCATAACAATAGCCGTGAAAACAATGCACCGAATAGACTAGACTTTTTAACAT